TCGAGGTCTTTTCTGGTTCCATATAAATTTTAGGATTATTTGTTCAATTTCTTTGAAAAAAATGGATGGTACTTTGATAGGAATTGCATTAAATGTGTAGATTGCTTTAGGTAGCATAGACATTTTCACAATATTTATTCTTCCAATCCAGGAGCATGGAACATTTTTCCATTTCTTTGTGTCTTCCTCAGTTTCTTTCATGAGTACTTTATAGTTTTCTGAGTATAGATTCTTAGTCTATTTGGTTAGGTTTATTCCTAGGTATCTTATAGTTTTGGGTGCAATTGTAAATGGGATTGACTCCTTAATTTCTCTTTCTTCTGTCTTGCTGTTGGTGTAGAGAAATGCAACTGATTTCTGTGCATTGATTTTATATCCTGACACTTTACTGAATTCCTGGACAAGTTCTAGCAGTTTTGGAGTGGAGTCTTTTGGGTTTTCCACATATAGTATCATATCATCTGCCAAGAGTGATAGTTTGACTTCTTCTTTGCCGATACGGATGCCTTTAATTTCCTTTTGTTGTCTGATTGCTGAGGCTAGGAATCTAGTACTATGTTGAATAGCAGTGGTGATAATGGACATCCCTGCCGTGTTCCTGACCTTAGCGGAAAGGCTTTCAGTTTTTCTCCATTGAGAATGATATTTGCGGTGGGTTTTTCATAGATGGCTTTGATAATATTGAGGTATGTGCCCTCTATCCCTACACTTTGAAGAGTTTTGATCAGGAAGGGATGCTGTACTTTGTCAAATGCTTTTTCAGCATCTATTGAAAGTATCATATGGTTCTTGTTCTTTCTTTTATTGGTGTGTTGTATCGCATTGATTGATTTGTGGATGTTGAACCAACCTTGCAGCCCTGGAATAAATCCCACTTGGTCGTGGTGAATAATCCTTTTAATGTACTGTTGAATCCTATTGGCTAGTATTTTGGTGAGAATTTTTGCATCTGTGTTCATCAAGGATATTGGTCTGTAGTTCTCTTTTTTGATGGGATCCTTGTCTGGTTTTGGGATCAAGGTGATGCTGGCCTCATAAAATGAGTTTGGAAGTTTTCCTTCCATTTCTATTTTTTGGAACAGTTTCAGGAGAATAGGAATTAGTTCTTCTTTAAATGTTTGGTAGAATTCCCCCGGGAAGCCATCTGGCCCTGGGCTTTTGTTTGTTTGGAGATTTTTGATGACTGTTTCAATCTCCTTACTGGTTATGGGTCTGTTCAGGCTTTCTATTTCTTCCTGGTTCAGTTGTGGTAGTTTAGATGTCTCTAGGAATGCATCCATTTCTTCCAGATTGTCAAATTTGCTGGCGTAGAGTTGCTCATAGTATGTTCTTATAATTGTCTGTATTTCTTTGGTGTTCGTTGTGATCTCTCCTCTTTCATTCATGATTTTATTTATTTGGGTCCTTTCTCTTTTCTTTTTGATAAGTCTGGCCAGGGGTTTATCGATCTTATTAATTCTTTCAAAGAACCAGCTCCTAGTTTCGTTGATTTGTTCTATTGTTTTTTTGGTTTCTATTTCATTGATTTCTGCTCTGATCTTTATGATTTCTCTTCTCCTGCTGGGTTTAGGGTTTCTTTCTTGTTCTTTCTCCAGCTCCTTTAGGTGTAGGGTTAGGTTGTGTACCTGAGACCTTTCTTGTTTCTTGAGAAAGGCTTGTACCGCTATATATTTTCCTCTCAGGACTGCCTTTGTTGTGTCCCACAGATTTTGAACCGTTGTGTTTTCATTATCATTTGTTTCCATGAATTTTTTCAACTCTTCTTTAATTTCCTGGTTGACCCATTCATTCTTTAGAAGGATGCTGTTTAGTCTCCATGTATTTGGGTTCTTTCCAAATTTCCTCTTGTGATTGACTTCTAGCTTCAGAGCATTGTGGTCTGAAAATATGCAGGGAATGATCCCAATCTTTTGATACCGGTTGAGACCTGATTTAGGACCAAGAATGTGATCTATTCTGGAGAATGTTCCATGTGCACTAGAGAAGAATGTGTATTCTGTTGCTTTGGGATGAAATGTTCTGAATATATCTGTGATGTCCATCTGGTCCAGTGTGTCATTTAAGGCCTTTATTTCCTTGTTGATCTTTTGCTTGGATGATCTGTCCATTTCATTGAGGGGAGTGTTAAAGTCCCCTACGATTATTGTATTATTGTTGATGTGTTTCTTTGATTTTGTTATTAACTGGTTTATATAGTTGGCTGCTCCCACGTTAGGGGCATAGATATTTAAAATTGTTAGATCTTCTTGTTGGACAGATCCTTTGAGTATGATATAGTGTCCTTCCTCATCTCTTATTATAGTCTTTGGCTTAAAATCTAATTGATCTGATATAAGGATTGCCACTCCTGCTTTCTTCTGATGTCCATTAGCATGGTAAATTCTTTTCCACCCCCTCACTTTAAATCTCGAGGTGTCTTCGGGTTTAAAATGCGTTTCTTGTAGGCAACATATAGATGGGTTTTGTTTTTTTATCCATTCTGATACCCTGTGTCTTTTGATTGGGGCATTTAGCCCATTAACATTCAGGGTAACTATTGAGAGATATGATTTTAGTGCCATTGTATTGCCTGTAAGGTGACTGTTATTGTATATTGTCTCTGTTTCTTTCTGATCTACTACTTTTAGGGTCTCTCTTTGCTTAGAGGACCCCTTTCAATATTTCCTGTAGAGCTGGTTTGGTATTTGCAAATTCTTTCAGTTTTTGTTTGTCCTGGAAGCTTTTAATCTCTCCTTCTATTTTCAATGATAGCCTAGCTGGATATAGTATTCTTGGCTGCATGTTTTTCTCGTTTAGTGCTCTGAATATATCATGCCAGCTCTTTCTGGCCTGCCAGGTCTCTGTGGATAAGTCTGATGCCAATCTAATATTTTTACCATTGTACGTTACAGACTTCTTTTCCCAGGCTGCTTTCAGGATCTTCTCTTTGTCACTAAGACTTGTAAATTTTACTATTAGGTGACGGGGTGTGGACCTATTCTTATTGATTTTGAGGGGGGTTCTCTGAACCTCCTGGATTTTGATGCTTGTTCCCTTTGCCATATTGGGGAAATTCTCTCCAATAATTCTCTCCAGTATACCTTCTGCTCCCCTCTCTGTTTCCTCTTCTTCTGGAATCCCAATTATTCTAATGTTGTTTCGTCTTATGGTGTCACTTATCTCTCGAATTCTCACCTCATGGTCCAGTAGCTGTTTGTCCCTCTTTTGCTCAGCTTCTTTATTCTCTGTCATTTGGTCTTCTATATCGCTAATTCTTTCTTCTGCCTCATTTATCCTAGCAGTGAGAGCCTCCATTTTTGATTGCACCTCATTAATAGCTTTTTTTATTTCAACTTGGTTAGATTTTAGTTCTTTTATTTCTCCAGAAAGGGCTTTTATGTCTCCCGAGAGGGTTTCTCTAATATCTTCCATGCCTTTTTTGAGCCCTGCTAAAACCTTGAGAATCGTCATTCTGAACTCTAGATCTGACATATTACCAGTGTCTGTATTGATTAGGTCCCTAGCCTTTGGTACTGCCTCTTGTTCTTTTTTCTGTGGTGAATTTTTCCACCTTGTCATTTTGTCCAGATAAGAGTAGATGAAGGAGCAAGTAAAATACTAGAAGGGTGGCAACAACCCCTGGAAAATATGCTTTAACCAAATCAGAAGAGATCCCAAATCGTGAGGGGGGAGAAAGGGGATAAAAAGAGGTTCAGAAAGAAAAAAAAAAATGAAACAATTAAAAGAAGAAAATGAATAAAGAAAAAATATAAAAAGGAAAAAATATATTAGATAAAGTAGTTAAAAAACGTTAAAAAAGAAAAGGGTAAAAGTTTAAAAAATTTAGCAGAAGAAGAGAAAAAAATTGAAAAAGAAAAAAAAATTAAATGCAAGGCTAAAGAATCATGGGGAGAAAGTCATGAGTTCCGTGCTTTGCTTTCTCCTCCTCTGGAATTCCGCTGCTCTCCTTGGTATTGAAACTGCACTCCTTGGTAGGTGAACTTGGTCCTGGCTGGGCTTCTTGTTGGTCTTCTGGGGGAGGGGCCTGTTGTGATTCTCAAGCTTCTTTGCCCCAGGCGGAGTTGCACCGCCGTTACCCAGGGCCGGGCTGAGTAATCCGCTTGGGTTTGCTTTCGGGAGCTTTTGTCCCCTTCCGTAGAGTCTGGAGGGCGGGAATGAAGATGGTGGCCTCCCGGTCTCCGGCCTGGAGGAGCCGAGAGCCCGGGGCCCCACTCCTCAGTGCGCCCTCAGAGAACAGCGCCCAGTTACTCCCATCTCCCCGGCCTCCGGCCGCGCTCCGAGCTGACCGAGGCTGCGACCGGTTCAAGGTAACCCCGAGCTTAGAGTCACTCCTCGGCTCTGTCTCTGTAGCCGGCTTCCCCGTTCTAATACCTGCAAGCTCTGCGACACGCAGACACCCCCGATCCTTCTGTGACCCTGCGGGACCTGAGGCCACACTGACCCCGCGCGGGCTTCACCCCGGTTAAGCCTCTGGAGCGATGTCCCTCAGCGGAACAGACTTTTAAAAGTCCTGATTTTGTGCTCCGTTGCTCCTCCGCTTGCCGGGAGCCGGCCCCTCCCCCCGCCCCGCGGTCTATCTTCCCGTTGCTTTGGATTCACTTCTCCGCCAGTCCTACCTTTCAGAAAGTGGTTGATTTTCTGTTTCTAGAGTTGCAGTTCTTCTCTTCGATCTCCCGTTGGATTTGTAGGTGTTTGCAATCTTTAGATAAGCTATCTAGCTGATCTCCGCTACTTGAAGTCGTCTCAGCTGCTACTTCTCTGCCATCTTGACTCCTCCCCCACAAAGTGTATTTTCAAGGTCAGTATAATCAGTGGCACCCCCACTTTGTCCCATCCCATATCACTACTGGTGAAGAGGAGCGAGATAGAAAGGCAGGGGAGGAATCTTCTATCCAGAATACCTTTGGGCCAGGAGAGGGGGATGAGTTTCACTACAACATCACCCAGAGAAGCCATATCTTCCAGAAAAGTTCGTATCTTTTTTGAATCCCTAAACACCCATACAGCTAACGCCACACACGGTGGTGCTGCACGGTCCGGCGGGCGTGGGGAAGACCACTCTGGCCAAGAAGTGCATGCTGGACTGGACGCAGGACAGCCTAGCGCACACCCGCCCCGTTGCCTTCTGTCTCAGCGGCAAGGTGCTCAGCCGCAAGGCGACTTGCTCCTTCGCAGAGCTGCTGGCCGAGAGCGCCCCAGACCTGCAGCGCGCCCTTCCGCAGGTCCCGGCCCCGGCCCCGGCGCACAAGCTCCTGCTGGTCATTGACGCTTTCGAGGAGCTACGCGTGCCCTGGGGCACGGGCGCGCTGGCGCACGACCTGGGGGGCGACTGGAGGACGCGGAGGCCTGCGCCGGTCCTCCTGGGCAGCCTGCTGAAGAGAAAGCTCTTCCCCACGGCCACTCTGCTGGTCACCACGCGGCCCGAGGCCCTGAGGGAACTGCGGCTCCTGGTGCAGCAGCCGCTCTTGGTGGAGATGGAGGGGCTCTCCGAGCGCGACAGGAGGGCGTATTTCCTGCGACACTTGGGAGAGGAGGCTCAGGCGCTGCGCGCTTTCCAGCTGATGAGAAGCAACGCGGCGCTGTTCCGCATGGGCGCGGCGCCCGCCGTGTGCTGGATGGCGTGCACCTGCCTGAGGCTGCTGATGGCCGAGGGCGCGGACCCCCGGCCCACCTGCCGGACCGCCACGTCCCTGCTGCTGCGCTTCCTCTGCAGCCGGTTTGCGCCTGCGCGGGGCCAAGGCCCGGGTCCGCACCTAGCGGCTGCCCTGCAAGTCCTGTGCCTGCTGGCCGCCGAGGGCACACGGGCGCAGACCTCGGCGTTCGACGGACTCGACCTGCGCAGGCTGGGGGTGCACGAGTCTGACCTGCGCCCTTTCCTGGACCGGGGCATCCTCCAGAAGGACGGAGACACTGGGGGCTGCTACCGCTTCGTCCACCTGAGCGTCCAGCACTTCCTGGCCGCTGCGCTCTGCGTCCTGGGGAGCGAGGGCCGCCAAGATGCAGGGAGCCCCACCTGGCACGCTGGGGCTGTGCAGAGGCTGCTCTCCAAGGAAGAAGGCCTCAAGAACCCCTACCTGGCCCCCGTGGGGCGCTTCCTGTTCGGCCTCGCCAATGAAAAGAGGGCCGGGGAGCTGGGGACCACCTTTGGCTGCCCAGTGTCCACTGAGTTCAAGCGGGAGCTACTGGAATGCACAGTGCGGTCCCCTGAACACAGACCCTTCTCCTCGGTGACAGACACGAAGGAGACCTTGTATTGTCTCTACGAATCCCAGGAGGAGCAGTTTGTGAAGGAGGCCATGGCCCAGGTCACGGAAGTGTCCCTGCATTTGGAAGATACCTCGGACCTGGTGCACGCATCGTTCTGCCTCAAGGGTTGTGACCGCTTGCAGAAAATGTGGCTGTGGGTGGCAAAGGGGACGTTCCTGGAGAACGATACCGCATGGGGATCAGAAGCTCAGGCTGACCGGTAAGGACCTGCCCTGTTCACTCTGTTAGTGCCCTGGCTTCAGCCTCATGCCCTGTTCCTAGTCAGTTCCTCTGCCCCTTTTCAATCAATTTCTAAAATTGGGTTGTATGAGTTCTTTATGTGTTTTGGATGCTAACCCTTGTCAGATGTATGATTTGCAAATATTTCCTCCCATTCTGTAGGCTGCCTTTTCATTTTGTTGGTGGTTTCCTTCGGGGAATAGTGTACCAATTCTTGTTACTTTTCCCATACATGCTTTTCTGTAGATGCTCTGGCCCATCCCTTCCTTCTAGGTCACAGCACGACCATGTCTCTCTCCATCTCTGGGTCCATCTCTGCTCCGTGTTCAGTTCAAACAAGAACCTGCATTTCTTGGATGTGAGCCAAGCTTCCTACATCACTCCTCAGTGAGGATTCTTTGTGAGCAAATCACCTGTGTCACCTGTCATCTCCAGAAAGTGATGTAAGTAGATACTACTCCTGTAACAATGATCCCCAGGCTTTTTTTTTTTTTTTTTTAACGTGGTAGCAGTATTTGAATGCTCAAGAAGCCTCTGACCAATCAGGTGCTCAGAATACAAAGAATTGAAATGGTTCCTAGTGGGCAAATCCAACGTTGCATTGAGTTATTGTGACAAAATTCGGCCAAGCATCTGGATATTTCCATGTATCTGCTATGGGCATATTTGAAACTCAGCCTGTGGAAAACATAGGTACATGCATATCAGAAGGAGAGCTGGTGGGAGCTTGGGAACTATTCCAGAGAGCATGGTTTTAAATACATGAATAAGAACGTGTTGGCGACGCAATGGTGAGTAATAATTAGTTTGTGGAACAGTTCTGAGAAAGGAGTCTGAGTAAGGTAGGTCGGCGCAGAAGCAAATCATGACGGAGCCACTTGGCAGGTCACGGTTAGGTTTAAAAGGTTAAATCAACACATGCCCAAGTGATAAACTCCATAAGTTCTGTTGAAGATTACAGACACATTACTGAAATTCCCCCTACCTCTCCACACCAGCATGTCTTAGAAAGTTTAATTAAGGTCCTGAAAACGTGCTATTTGCTTGGAAGAAATAGCTATGCCCCACGTCAGTTGACTTGCTGATCTCAGAATGCCATGGGCCTTGTGCATTTGAAGCAATGAAGTCTGACACAGGTTGGTGCCAGAAAAGATGGCAATGTCTTCCGTATGGCCTTGAAAGTTTACATTGCTCTGTAATGCTCAAGGCATTATGTGAGAAACAAGAAACAGAAGACACCCGTAATTTGTTCTGCTAAGTGTTTACGACAATGTAAGCAGAAGTTCTGAAAGGCTGGCATCCCCCTTACTCTGGCTCTGGGCTGAAAATTTCATTTGGAGCCTCTTTTGGATAAGCTGCAGGGAATGTTCATTATCTGACAATGAAGGGTCAAGGGTTATAAGATCAGCTGTGGGTTTAGGAAGAAGTGAGGGGTTGGGAGAAGAGAATATCCACTCCCCCAACAGGGAATGTAGTGCCAGGTTTGGAGGTACAACGTAAAGACAGGTGAAGGTCCCTTCTGACTGGTGTGAGGTGGTATCTCATTGTGGTTTTCATCTGTATTTCCCTGATACCAAGTGATGTGGAGCACTTTTTCATGTGTCTGTTGGCCATCTGGATGTCTTCTTTGCAGAAATGTCTGTTCATGTCCTCTGCCCATTTCTTGATTGGATTATTTGTTCTTTGGGTGTTGAGTTTGATAAGCTCTTTATAGATTTTGGATACTAGCCCTTTATCTGATATGTCATTTGCGAATATCTTCTCCCATTCTGTCAGTTGTCTTTTGGTTTAACTGTTTCCTTTGCTGTGCAAAAGCTTTTGATCTTGATGAAGTCCGAATAGTTCATTTTTGCCCTTGCTTCCCTTGCCTTTGGCGATGTTCCTAGGAAGAAGTTGCTGCGGCTGAGGTCGAAGAGATTGGTGCCTCTTTTGATGGATTTTGATCGATTTTGATGGATTCCTTTCTCACATTCCTTCATCCATTTTGAGTCTATTTTTGTGTGTGGTGTAAGGAAATGGTCCAGTTTCATTTTTCTGCACGTGGCTGTCCAATTTTCCCAACACCATTTGTTGAAGAGACTGTCTTTATTCCGCCTTTCCTATTTTTTATTTATTTTATGCTGCTAGGGATTCAGTGGGCAAAACAGCACAGAGTCTTAGTGGTTCTCAGCAGGAGTGACTTGCCATGCATGGGACACTGGGCAATGTTGGGAGATATTTGTCCCAACAAGGGGGTGCTCCTGGCATCTAACGGGCAGAACCCGGTGATGTGCTAAACATCTACAACACGCAGGACAGCCCCACAGCAAAGAATGGTCTGGCTTGAAATTTCAGTAGGGCTAAAATTAAGAAACTCTATGGTCTCTGCATTCATTACCACAGAAAATTTGACCTCAACCAGAGGACACTTGGCAATACCTAGAGACTTTTTTTTTTTTTACTGTGATAAAGCACACATAGCATCAAATTTACCATTGTAATCTTTTAAAGTGTACAGTTTAGCCGCACTGAGTGTATTCAACACTATGCAAACATCCCCAGTATCTAGTCTCAGAATGTGTTCTTCACCCCAAAGGGAAGCCACATGCCCACTAATCTCCTTTCTGTCCCTCTGTGTGTGACTGTCCCAGATTTTGTTGGCTGCACCTGGTTGTGCCAGTAGCTTCTAGCAGGCAGAGACCCAGGGTGCTGCTGACCATCCTAAAAGGCACACCACAGCCCTACAAAAACCCCCAAAAGAACAGAAACAGGCTCATCAATACAGAAAACAAACTGGTGGTTGCCCGAGGGGAGGAGGAGGGTGTGGGGATAATCAATCAAATCAATAAAAAAAAAGAAAGGGGTTAAAAGGTACAAACCTCCAGTTATAAAATACATGTCACGGGGAGGAAAAGCGCAGTATAGTGAGTATAAACAATATCATAATAACATATAGTGACTAGACTTAAGGTGAGCACTGTGTATAATTGAATCATTATGCTTTACACCTGAAACTAACCAAACATGGCCAACTATATGTCAATAATTGTGATTAAAATAATTCCATCATTCTGGGGCTGAACACCCCACAGCAGGTAGACAGCTGTACGGCTTCCTGTCTGATCCTGTGTCTTCAGGACACTGTGCTCTGCTGGGAAAATAAACCCCCAGGAGGAGTCTACCCTTCCTTCTCTCTAGGGTCCACAGGGCAGGTGCTGGAGACCTCAGCCTCCTGGGGTTAGTGGGTCCCACTCTCCACATCTGTGCTGCCACGAGACACTCCCCACAGAAATCACCCCTTACCAGTTCAGCCCTGCAGGTGCACGTGGGCTGGGGACTGGCCATTGCACCTCCTGAACTCTCCTACCCTGCTGAGCCTGGGGAGTCCAGAAAGAAAGTGCCAGGCCATCCTGTGCCCAGGATGAGACAGAAACCCTGCAGGTGTGGGGTGAGCTTACTTGGGCTTCTCGTCCAGCGCTGTGTCCAGGCCCAGGGTCCCCGAGTCAGAGAATCTTGCCCCCCACCTCATGCCTACTTGAACTTCTTGGTTAGCACAGAGTGGCTGGGGAAGACAGATGTGGGGTTTTAAGCTTCCTTCTCCCATAAAAAGCCTCAGGATAGAAGATGGCCCGGAGCCCTGAATACAGGAAGATTCGGGGCTGGAACCTACTTCCCAGGCACACTTGCCAGCCCTTCTCTTGCAGGTCTTCCCAATTCCGTGATTGCAGGTGCGTGGTCTGTAATTGCAAACAGGTGGTCTGGGTCAATCAGTGACAGGCTCCGGGGAAAGCCAAGAAGTGGAACATTCCATCATAGACCCAGGGGGGAACCAGAAGTGGAACAATCCACCATAGACCCAGGGGGGAACCAGAGGTGGAACGATCCACCATAAGGGGTTAGGGGGGAACCAGAAGTGGAACAATCCACCATAGGCCCATGGGGGAACCAAAAGTGGAACAACCCACCATAAGGGGGTGTGGGGGGAACCAGAAGTGGAACAATCCACCATAGACCCATGGGGGAACCAGAAGTGGAATGATCCACCATAGAGGGGGTAGGGGGAAACCAGAAGTGGAACAATTCACCATAGACCCATGGGGGAACCAGAAGTGGAACAATCCATCATAGACTCAGGGGGGAATCAGAAGTGGAACGATCCACCATAGACGGGAGGGGTGTGGAGGTGTGGGGTGTGGGGGGTAGGGGAGGGGGGAACCAGAAGTGGAACAATCCACCATAGACCGGGGAGGGGGGAGCCAGAAGTGGAACAATCCACCATAGACCCATGGGGAACCAGAAGTGGAACAATCCATCATAGACCGGGGTGGGGGGAGAAGTGGAACAATCCACGATAGAGCAGGTGGGGAGCCCTCACACTTGGGGAGAGAAAAATCTGCAGTGTCCAGAGCACAGGCACACAATGCACACCTCAGAGATGGGTCCAGATAGACTAGGGAAATACCCTTCTTCCTGCAGAGGCAGAGGACCCTGGACAGGGCTCAGGACCCAGGAGAAGACAATGATGGGTGATGGGTGAATGGAACTGGCAGGGGCAGGGCCGGCTGGGCTCTCTGCAGCAGATCCATTGCCCAGCAGCCCATTTGACATCTCTGTCTGTTGGGGTCCCCCTCAGACTCTCCCTCAGAGCTTGCTGACGTCCAGCTCTGACGCTTAGACTAGCCTCCTGGATCTCTCCCCAGACCCAGTGGTTCTCAGCTTGGGGTGATCCTTCTCCCACCCCCTTGATGTCCAGAGACATTTCTGGTTGTCAGCACTGAGGGAGGGGGAGCTACTGGTGTCCGAGGAGCAGAGACAAGATGCTGTTAAACATCCTGCAATGCTCCAACCACAAACAATGGTCTGGCTCCAAATCTCAGTAGTGCTGAGGTTGAGAAATGCTGGCTGAGATGACTCTCTGCCAGAAAGCAAGAACCACCTTCCACCCCTCAATTCGGAGTAGATGTAGGGTTACAATTCTAGGGCAATTCCCCAGACTCAGCATTGAGTAAGACATCTCTGTTTTTTAGAGAACTGGCGTTAGGTTTCACGTCTAACCTGGCCTTGCTGACCCAGTCACCCACCTTCCCGGAGCTCATTGCTCTAGCCATGCTGGGCACCTGCTATTTTCCCAAGCACGCTCCCTTTGGCCTGCCTTCCTGTTCCTTCTGCCTGGGGGGTTGGTAGGGGCTCACATGGTCACCAGCCTCATGCCACTCACTACTCCCAGTGCCCTCTTTATATCCTTCTAGGCCTGAGGTTCTTAACCGGGGGTGATTTTGTCTCCAAAGGGACATTTAGCAACATCCAGAGTCAAGGTTAAGGGGGTACACCTGGCATCTTGTGGATAGAGACTGAATTGTTCCCCCCTCCCCCAGTTGCATAGGTTGAAGCCTTTGCTACTGGGACTGTATTTGGTTCGAGGGCTTTTAAGGGATCATAATTTATTTTTTTAAGATTTTATTTATTTGTCAGAGAGAGAGAGAGAGAGAGAGAGAGAACGCACATAGGCAGAGTGGCAGGCAGAGGTGGAGAGAGAAGCGGGCTCTCTGCTGAGTACGGATCCTGATGTGGGGACTCAATCCCAGGACCCTGGGATCATGACCTGAGCTGAAGTCATCGGCTTAACTGACTGAGCCACCCAGGCGTCCTGGATCATGAAGTTTAAATGAGGCCATACTGGTGGGCTCCTGATCTGATAGGATGGGTGGTCTTTTCAGAATCTGTGCCAGCACTGAGGAAAGGCCATCTCCCCAGCAGGAAGTAATCCTTATTGAGGAGCTGAATTGTCTGGCACCTTGATCTTGGACTTGCCAGTCTCAGGACTACAAGAAAATAAATTTCTGTTGTTTAAGCCACCGAGTCTATGGTATTTCGTTACAGCAGTTGAGCTGAGGGAGGCAATTCCCCCACAATACAGGATCATCTGGCCCCAGAAGAGAGGAGTGCAGAGGCGCCCCAACATGCTGCATTTGAGGGTCTCAGACATACACGTGCAAGTAGAGTTGTCCCAGTGGGTGTCTGATTGGCAGGCAGCTGACTGTCCTAGTGCTTCACACTAGCCATGATGTACATAATAGTTACATTAAGTTGATTGTAAAGTTAAACAACTATTACAGTGTGGACATATGATGTATGCATGTATGTGAGGAAATAGATAATCTAAAGACAAAGACGTTTGGTGGAAAGATTGAGGACCTTTGTGTTGGGGTTTTTGAGGTCTTTTAAATGGAATAGAGGAAGAGAGGTCAAAGGCATTTACCAACAATGACACATAAATCAAAGTGTGAGTTGCAGTTGATACCATATATCAGAAAAACACTGTGATATGAATGTAACTGAGGAAATTATACCTCCAATATATAACATATACTATATATATTTTAAAAAACTTATGATGTATTATATGTTGGCTAACTTGACATAATGAAAAATAAAAAAATTAAAATAAATTAAAAAAATAAGACAATCTTTTAAAAATGTTTATTTATTTATGTAGATTCCATGCCCTGCACGGAGCCCAATGCGGGGCTTGAACTCACAGCCCTGAGATCAAGTCCTGAGCTAATATGGTGATGGGCATTAAGGAGAGCATGTGTTGGGATAAGTACTTGGGGTTATATGTAAGTGATGAACCACTAAATTCTGAAATCAATACTACACTACACGTTAACTTGAATTAACTAACTGAATTAAAAAACAACAACAAAAACCAGTTAGATGCTTAACTGACTGAGCCACCCAGGTGCCCCTAAAAATATTTATGTATAAGTTCTTTACCTGATTGAACTTCCAAAAGGCAAATGGCCAAAGGGACAGTTGTTATGAGAAATAATAAAAATATTGATCTCTACCCACAAGCACGTAAATGACAAATGTTCCATTACCTGCTAATTTGTACGGCACTTCTTCCCAGCAGTGATCAGAGCACAAGCATAGGTACAGAAAAGAGAGCAAAGCTGGGAGTTTTCCAAATGAGAAGAACAACTTTGGTGGTAGGAGGATGATGAGTCCAGGTTGGTTGGAAGAACCTGATAAAATAATCCAAAGTTCCAAAAAAAAAAAAAAATCCCAAAAAACTAGGGTTCAGAGAGACAGACTTGACTTGGGCATCTGTCTTAGAGAAATTGGAACCATGGCATTAAATGAGATCTACCCAGCTTGTGTCCGGAGAAAGGCAGGTCTACCATGGGAACCACAAGCTCTGGTGGTGGAAACCCTGCAAAACTGGTAGTGCAGGATAGTCAGAAAACGAGCAGAGGAGGCCAGCTGAAGCCAACTGTTTCAGGGAGGAAGTGGTCATACAACCGACACAGGCACAAAGGTGAGACGAGGCTGAGAAGCATCCACTACGAGTTCTAGGAAGCCATAAATGTTTATCACAAAAACACCTTCAGCGGAAATGTTTGTGTGGGGAGAAACCACCTCCTGGGGGGCTGAGGCCTGAGTGTGAGGGGCAAAGCAGAAAACTGGTCTTCAGAGCCGTGGACCAGTAAAAGTAGAGGGGATGAAGGTTTCCCCACATAACTGTCCGCGTTCTGAACCTTGAGGTCCCATTCATAACTCAAAAGTATTTTCTAACTGGGACAATGAATATCTACAAAAAATTATAGCCATTTGCTTACTCAGTGGTAAGACATTAAAAATATTCCCCATAATATTGGTAATAAGAAAAGGATTCTTACTATCTATTAATGTGCTGGAGGTTCCAGCCGGATAGTAAGACAATAAAAAAGAAATCAATTTTACAAAAAAATCCTAAACATTTTTTAAAGCTAGAAATAATCTAAAATAATCTAAAAATGTTAAAATTTTTAAGATGTGAACTCTGCAAGACAACTGAGTACACATTCGGTAAACAAGATCCAGTTTTATTTTTATAACACCAGCACAAACAACGGCGGTAAAATTATTTAAAGAATGATACCACTTGCAAAATAAAAGTCACGTACCTAGGGATCTGTCTGGGGCTGATAAAACTGGAAGATATATCTCATGGAAATCTAACAAAAGATGTGCACATTTTGTACACAGAGGACTGCATGATATTATTTAAAGAAATCAGAGAACATATAAACACATAGCGAAATATGACACATTTAGGGTGCAAGTTTTCATGGACTGAAAGATTGAAGAGATGATAATTCCCCCCTAAATTGATCTGTGGCTTTAGTACAATTTCATGCACAACCCAGGCTGGTCTTTTGTGACAACTGACATCTTAAAGTTAATATTGAAATCTAAAGGGCCCAGAATAACGTAAGCAATCCTGAGAAATAACAAAACCAACAAATATTACCAATCTCAGGACCAGGACCCATCACCCATCGCTGGACCTCCCTCTGGGTTATCGATACCAGTCATTGCCCTGGTTGTCAACTCCAAAAACAGGTGACATTCTCGACTGTGCTGTTTCTCCACGGTTTTGTTTTCTCCTGCGCATTGCCTTCTCTCTGTCCCTGGGAGGGTCTTTCTCTCTGTCACTGGGAGGGTCTTTCTCTCTGTCACTGGGCGGGTCTTTCTCTCTGTCACTGGGAGGGTCTTTCTCTCTGTCCCTGGGAGGGTCTTTCTGCGGTGCACAAGTCATCTTATGACACCATGATCAAAGCGCTCAATGAGCTCCCTTAGCCTGAAGGAAGAAATGGGCATTTCAGATGTGGCTTCCATGGCTGTGCTTGGTGTGGTGCACCCAGCGTCACCCAGGCTCAAAGCTCTACTTACACATCGTGCTTTCACCCTCTGTCCTGCCTGTGAGTCTCAGCCTGAATTGGTGCGGACACCTACCACCGTCATCCCCATTCCTCGTCTGTGTGCCTGCCTCCATGTCCCTACAGAATGGAGTTTTGCATAAAAGAAGCTCCACTATCATCCTGTAGTTCTTCGATCCCAACTTAAACCCTTTCACTGCATTTACTCACTCTCTTGAAGATCTGCTCTCCTGGACAATCAGCCCAGGGATGTGGTCATTTCACCACTGCCCGGCACATAGTAGGGTCTTGTCAAAGAGACTGCTGCTGCCTATCACAACTCTGTCACGTCCCTCCTCACCCCATTGGTCATAGGAACGCCACTATTTATCTTGTCACAGAGATGCCTGAAATAAAAGCTATCTTTCTCAGCCTCCCTTGTATCCAAGTGGGGCAAGCTATTAGGTTCTAACCACTGAGAAATAATGGAAGTGTTTTTGAGTGTTTCCAATAAATCTCCGTGACAAACAATTGGCCGGTACTTCCTCCGCCTTTCCCTCCCTCCGTCCCTCCCCATGCTTCATTTTGCTGTCTGGAATACAAACTGGGTTAACATTTCAAGAAGAGTAATGTTCTACTTAACCACCCGGTCTACTCCTGTTGGCCAGTTTTGGAAGACTTTGAGTGAGGGGAACAGCCTTGTGTGGAAAAGACCCCCCCCATCTCTCTGAGGAGGCTCTCAGGCCCCCGCACTTACATCTGGAGACCCAAAATTCTTCTACCTTACACCTTTTTTCCCCCCTTGAAACTGTAGGTTTCCTACCACAGGTTAGAATATGGAAAATCTGGGATGTTATAAACATACTCCAAAGAAGTCTGTCATGTCTTGGGATAAAGAACATTATGATTTAGTATCAACAGATGTCCTTGGTCCGTGAACACCTAGCAGATGAAGAACAGAAAGAAGGATGTTCAGTACTGGTCCACTGGTTTTGAGGTAACAACTGGTATGAGTTTCAGTTCCCTGTAGTACACAGGACAGTCACAGCTGCTGTGCATTGGGTTAACTTCCATGTGTCAGAGCCTATGTTGGTTTCTTGACATTCTTTTTTTTTTTTGTAAAGATTTTATTTATTTATTTGACAGAGATCACAAGTAGGCAGAGAGAGAGAGAGAAAGAGAGAGAGGGGAGGAAGTAGGCTCGCTGCTGAGCAGTGAGCCTGATGCGGAGCTCGATCCCAGGACCCTGGGATCATGACCCGAGCTGAAGGCAGAGGCTTTAACCCACTGAGCCACACAGGTGCCCCAACATTCTTTATCTTGTTAAACATGCATGTCACCCCTTTGAGGTTGGACTTAATGTTCTCTGATGCGTAACAGAAAACTCAGATTTAGAGAATGGATTTGAGCTGTGTGAGGCATCAGAGTCTTGGCAGGGGAAGGGACCCACATCATGGTTATATTAATGGGCTGATCCAGTAGAAGTTCTCAAGGAACAAAGGATCCAGACAGCATTTCAAGGACAATAGTCAGGAGTCTCAAGGGCTAAGTTGCACTACTGTCCCATTTGTGTACCGACTGACCTAATATATATTTCTGGAGAGCTCTCTTAGTGGCAGGAGCTGTGAGCACAGTAATCAGACCCAGCACAGACTTAATTCACACAAGTTCATGGTAGAGATGGGAAAATGGATATGTATGCAATGTTAGAGCCCCGGTGCTGTTATAGATGAACAGAAAGTGCTTTGGGAGCATGGAGGTGATATCTGATGTTGAGATGGAGGGTTTGGGAGCTCTCTTGGGGGAGACCCAAGGAAGAAGGCAGAGTCTGGATAAAGAAGCAAGGAAGACAGAAGCCTGCAGTGGTGTAGGACAGAGCAATCAGGGCAAGGCTGAGACCCAGCCAGGACACATTCAGCCATAGGTGTGCTCACAGCCTGTATCTCCTTCAACCTGTTGGTGCCTCACTGGCTCCTGTTGCTTTTGATAAATGACTATTCTGTACTGGTTATTACTATTATTTTCTGTACTGGTTATTATTATTATTTTCTATACTGTTTCTTTTCTGTACTGGTTATTAAATATCTTGAATGACATACTGCAGTAATGGAAAAAAGAAGTAGGGATGAAGACCAAAGTAGGAAGGAAATATTTGTGGCCATGCTGTTAACAAAGGAGATATTCTGGGGGAAAACCAGGGTGGTTAAAGCTTTGGTTCGCATCAGGAAGGCACAAAAATGCTTACACCCCAGAAGAGACAGGAGGGTCTGTCTGGAGGGAAATTTAGCTCTTTCATCCCACCCTGCCAGACTCCATGCAGCTGTCCCTCAGTGTCCTGCAGAGAAACCCCCTTCATGGGTACAACACAGAGCTCGCTCAGCTCAGGGTCAAGGACAGCGTTCAGCTCTACCTGGGACCAGCACATCTCTTGGTCATTCGATCAGGCGTCTCTGTGTTCTGAACCTTCTCCTGTGTTCCTGACTTGAAGCCCCGTTGGCTTTCTCTTGTGCCCTCTTCCTCCAAAGCCAGTCTTCAGCCAGGAAGCACATGAGTGCCACCAGGACCAGGAAAGCCAGAATGATCCGAAGGAGATTCTGGGCAGTGTGATCCCAGGAGGCAAGGTCTGGGGTCAGAGGACAGACTGATGACTGACAGGAATGGGTGTACATACCTCGCCCCGCCTCTCTCCCTCTCCCCATTCTAGATCACACTCCTTCACAGCCTGCAGTGCCCGCTGCTTGCCTACCTTGCTGGAATTCTGCCTCTGTGGTTACCAAGTCAAGATCCCAATAGTCTGCGGACGAAAGGGAAGTAAAGCAGTGAGAAAAAGAGAGCGTGTTGGCCACCAGGCCTCCTCTCCTCCCTAGGATGGACCCCATGGCCTCGTGCAGCTTTTCCAGGTCCACACCCCACCCTCCAGGTCCTAGTGGCTTCATCTGTCTGGTGAGACCCGGGGGGAATCTAGCTCCAGAACCCCATGCCAGGCATGTCTTCCTTCCGGCCCTCAGCTTCCTCATTACCTCGGTCAACATGGCTTCTTCCTCACACGTTGGATGACTCACAGTCTCCCCATTTTCTTCCAAGCTCTGAGCCCACTCCCCATCCCCACTAACATGCATGCAAGGTCCCTCCCGGTGCAGGGAATTACTCCTGGGACTCGCCCTCCCCCTGCCATATGCAGTGGCCATTCCCTCTCTCTGGAATGTTCTTTTTCAGGTAGCCACAGAACAAATGTCCTCAGTTCTTCAGGTATTTGCTTCACTGTGAGGCCGATTCAGACAGTTCTAATATTGCCACCTGCCCTCCTGGTCACCCTGACCCCATTTGTTCTGCTCTGTCTTTCCTCCACACCACTGTTTGCTCCCCCTGTGCTATATGCTGGGCTTGTTTCTCTGACTTTGACTCAAGTTCTGTTTCCCACTGGGACACAAGTGCCACAAAAGCAACATGTTCTTAGTGTCACTGGGAGGCTCTAATCACCCCCCCAAGTTTAGAGGTAACTTACTCACCAGAAAAAGAGGTGTGCTCTGTGGGTGCAAGGCTGGTGTCCCCAAAATCTTCTAGCAGTGGAAACAAAGAAAACCATAAGGGTTTTGGGTTTCCTCCGGTCTTCCCACCAAGTCCTTGCGTCTTCCCCCCTCCTTGTTCCTCTTCCTCAGAAACAATCAGCTGGGCCTCCCCAAAATGCATGTGGGGGAGGGCACTGCAGGGAGGTGCCTGCTGCCTCTTCCCACCTGTCCCTTTGCTGTCTTCCTCATCACTGGTTGGGGTTCACTTGGGGTTCTGGAGAGGACGTGGGGGAAATCTGGGGGTTTCCTCACCTGCGACCTGGAGCTTCACAGGCTCACTGGGAAAGGACCATGCATGGTTGTTGTAGGAGCCAAAACATCTGTACGTCCCTCTGTGGGCTGTGGTCACAGGACCTATGGGGAACTCCACCTGGGTGTTCCCGTATCTGTGCTGAAGGTGAGGGGATTGTCCCTCCTTGAGCAGAAAGAACTTGTTTGTTGCAGTGCCCAGCTGACAGTAGAAGCTCACGTTCTCTCCTGAGGTCACCTCAGGCCCAGGATGGACGGAGAGGGTGGGGGTGTCATACAATTCTGTGGGGGAAGGAGACAGGTGGTTTAAGAGAGTCTTTATCCCGCCTCCTATGTGCCCTTTCCTCCTTGACCTTAAGACTGGGATGTCACTTCCCAGAATCTCTGTCTCCTCCGCTTTGGTCATGGACATGCCCTCGCTGATCTCACCCTTCAAGACTGAGACACTCATTCCTCTAGCCTTCTCTCTGTGGGGATTGCCTGACATCAGTGGTTCTCAGAGTTAGAGATCCTTGGGGCCAGTGACATCATCATCAGCTGGAAGCTTATTAGAAATGCAGATTCCCAGGATCCACCCCAGACCCACTGCATCAGAAACTCAGGGGTAAGGCAGCCAACTGTGTTTTAAAAATTGTTATTGTTTTCCATTGCTATAAAATACATGACACATAAAATTTACCATCTTAAGCAATTGTATGGGGACAATTCAGTAGTATTGACTACATTCACATTGTCATGCAACCATCACCACCATCCATCTCCAGGACTCTTTTCATCTTACAGAACTGAAACTGTCCCTGCTACTAAGCACCCTCTCTCCGTCCCCATCCCTCAGCCCCTGGCACCCCACATTCTGCCTTCTGTCTCTACGAATTTGACCATCCTAAGTCCTACATGGAAGTGACCCCTACAGTATTTGTCCTTCTGTGACTGACTTATCTCGCTCGGCATAAGGCCGTCAAGGTCTATTCATGACATAACAGGTGTTTGAGTCTCCTTCCTTTTTAAGGCCGAATAATATTCCCTAGTGTGGGTAGACCACATTTTGTTTATCCACTCCTTTATCAGTAGACACTGGGCTTGTTGCTAGCTTTTGGCTATTGTGAACAATGCTTTCATGAACCTGGAGTACTAGAGACATCCGTGTTTTCCAGATGATTGTGATACCTGCTTGAGTTTGAGAGCCACATCCCTCAGCTGAAGGCAACTCCTGTACCTGAGACTGCCTTCCCTCCCAGCCTCATTCCACTCTGTCTGTTTCCATATCATTTATTCCTCAGGTGCCCATGACGGACTGATTTGTCCTGACTTAGACTCATGGTCTGTCTTCCCCCTGCTAGGGTACAAGTGCCACAAAAGCATGGATGTTTGAATGGAACCTCCTCCCCAGGAGGGGCTGACACTGGTGGGTACAGAACCCCTAGCCTCATCTTGAGATCTTGAGACCATGCAGAAGGACCATCCCAGATCCAGAAGGACCATCCCAAGTCCAGAACTCCGTTGCTCGGCTGAGGTGACTGCTGAAACTGCACTGTGGTCAGCTCCTGCCTTTTGCCTGGCCTGTTCCCCTCACTCCTCATCACCAGGGTCACTTTTGAGGATACCTCCCAGGGTTCCCCCCAGCCCTTGCCCCATGCACACACACATCCATCTCAGGGCCTCTCACCTGGAGAACCTGACCTATGACCAACCTGCCTCTAGGTCACAGACAACCACAAAGAGAGGCTGAATGACACTGAAGAGGATTAATAAATACGTGATGACCCTCCCCGGATTCAGGCCGAGGATGGGACAGTTACCTGTGACCACCAGATCCAGAGGGTCACTCGGGTTTGACCAGAGCTTCTTGCTTCGGTAAATGCACTTGTATTGCCCTGCAGTGAGTGGGGTCATGGCTGGGATGTGGAACATGGCTATGTTCCTCCTTCCAAGTTGCTTTGGGCTCTGCTGACGAAAGAGGTGTCCCTCGAAATACAGCTGGTACTTCACAGCCTCAGGAGTCCCCTGGCAGAAGATAAGGGCCTGCTTTCCCTTCGGAATCATGAAATCTGGCTTGGCCCAGATGATGGGTTTTGAAAGATTCTCTGGAAGGGAATCAGAGGTTGGAGTTCCCAGATATAGCAACTTCCCACCCAAATGTCCACGCAGTTGCTGGCACCAAGCCTTCCTACAAAACCAGAGGCCCTGCTCTCTCCTCTGGTGGCTCCTAGGTGCACACTTTGTCTGAGCCTAGTAGAGAGACTCTGGGCCTATGAGGGATGGACTCACGCTTCTCGGTCCTGATGGTCTGGCTCAGGAACAGCCCTGGAAGATAGAAACAGTGAGACAGGCTGCCCCATCCACACCCAGACCCCTGGATGCCATCTCTCTCATGTGCAAGAACTCACCGAGGTAGAGCAGGGCAGTGAGTGTAGAGGTCATAGCACTGATCCTACCAGGCGAATGTGGAGCAGCTGGGTGGAGACTGAGTCCAGTAGGGCAGGAAGGTGCACAGGATGTGGTGGGTAAAGCCCAGCACTAATCGCCATGGGGCTTTCACACGGACTTCTTACAAGAAGATTCACAGTCTTCCTTCTACCTCTGACCACGAGGCATAAAGACAGGTCATGGTCCCCATGACACATCTGATCATCTCTGTGCTCTAACCAGATCCTCTGACAATTGTCTGCCCCACCTGAAACTCATATTAGGGTCCTCTTCTAATAGGTCAAAATTTGACCTATTTTGAAGTGTGGACATTATGCCCAGGAAAGGGATAGGGTAGTGTACAGAGCAGAAACCTTAGAATCATTTAAAAAAATATGTGTTTAATCTTGGCTCCCCTTTGTTTGGTGCATATGCTTGGGTCAGTGGGTTGGCTTCAACAGAATGAAATGATAACACTATCTTTTCCAAGGATTTGTTACAATGTTTCAACAAAATGCATAAAGAAGAGGTGGTCCATACACACAATGGAATATTACTCACCCATCAGAAAGGATGAATACCCACCATTTACATTGACATGGACGGGACTGGAGGAGATTATGCTGAGTGAAATAAGTCAAACAGAGAAAGTCAATTACCATATGGTTTCACTTACTTGTGGAGCATAAGGAATAGCATGGAGGACATTAGGAGGAAGGGAAAAATGAAGGGGGGGAACTGGAAGGGAGACGAACCATGAGACACTATGGACCCTGGGAAACTGAGGGCTTTAGAGGGGAGGGAGTGGGGGATGAGTGAGCCTGGTGATAGGTATTAAGGAGGGCATGTATTGCACGGAACACAGGGTGTTATACGCAAACAATGAATCGTGGAACATGACATCAAAGACCAATGATGTACTGTATGGCAACTAATGTAACATAATTTAAAAAAACATAAACAATCTGAGGGTTTTGAAGAGGTGGGGGGGTGGGAGGTTGGGGGAACCAGGTGGTGGGTATTAGAGAGGGCATGGATTGCATGGAGCACTGGGTGTGGTGCAAAAACAATGAATACTGTTATGCTGAAAAGAAAAACAAAAACAAAAACAACATAAACAACAACAACAACAAATTGAACTTGAAACAAAATGGTGTTTCTTACATAAGTATATTCCTTTAGTCTGTTATAAAACAGAAATTAAATATTAAAATCTTAATTATTTGAATATATTTTAAAACTCAAAATGTGTTTTTAGGGGCATTTGGGTGGCTCAGTGGATTAAAGCCTCTGCCTTTGGCTCAGGTCATGATCCCAGGGTCTTGGGATCAAGCCCCGAGTAGGGCTCTCTGCTCAGCAGGGAGCCTGCTCCCCCCCCACCCCCCTGCCTGCCTCTCTGCCTACTTGTGACCTCTGTCTGTCAAATAAATAAATAAAATTTTTAAAAAAATGTTTTTTTTATCCTCAAAGGGTCTAAACAATTATTGAAAATGAAATATAATGCCAATTTATATTCTGCCTTACATTCTTGAGGAAATCTCACCCAATCTATTACCTTTGTTCTTATTTCTTGATTTTGTGGTTGAATATATTCCATTCACTCTCTTATTTACATTTAATAAAACCCACTCATTTCCTGTTCAGTTCTATATGAGTTTTGATAAATGTATATAGTCATGTAACCAACACCTAAGTCAAAATATAGGACAGATTTGCCCTTGTATTAATGGTATTATTAGTGTTTGTTCTTGTGTGTCTGACTTATCTCACTTAGCGAATGCCCTGTGGGTTTATTCCTGTTGTTGCAAATGATAGGGTTTCTATTCCATTCCTTTTTGTTGCCTCCAATCCTTGGCTCCAAATTCCAGAACCCTTCTTCTCCAGCCAGCCAACAACCCTCCCCACGCCCCCCACCTGTCTAGATAATCTCCACCAGAATGTCCTTACATTTTGAGGGAGGGCATCGTTCTCATGTATCTATAGCATCTTTCTCAGAAGCCAGGCTGGAGAAGAAAAGCTCAAGTGAGATGGTCACTTTTGATTGAGATCATAGCTTATGCATCTACTCCTGGGAGTAGATTTTAGACCTAAAATCAGAAGCTCTGCTCTCCCTGTATAAAGGGCCATAGACTGGATTGGTACTGTCTTGTCCTCCCCATTAAGACTTGCCAAGGATGCAGCAGGGGGTTTCTTCCAGCTGACTTCCTGTGTGCATCACTTAGGAGACTTAGCCTCAATAAACTTACAGGAAATATGGGTGCAGAAGAAGTAGTGGGTGAGGACCCAGGGCCACCCACTGGAGTTTTTTTTATGTTGACCACATTTCTAGAGAGAGGGCACACCCAATGCATGTGAGAAACCTGGTTATATGCTATGGTTCGGTTTTGTTTTGTTTTATGTTTTTTTTTGTTTTTTATTTTTAAAATCACATTTGACCTATGGAAACATTTAGATACCAAACCATGGAGGAGGAAGGCAGTGGTTGCTAGTTCAAAGGAGACAATGAGGCAGGCTTGCCTGTAGATGACAAAGGTGTCTCTGGGCGAAGAGGGCATCTTGTCTCACTTCTCTCCCATAATACATCTTAATTTACTCATCATTATCAGCCTAAAGCTCATTCATAGCATGAAGGTAAGGTTCCTAGTGAGTGGGTTCCTATGTCAGGAAAGAGCTAGTGAGACCAATGATGTACTGTGGGGATAAAGTGACCAGGGGCAGAGAAGTAGTTCTCTTGGTATGGTGAGAAAGATCTGCTACTTATCCCTTCAGAGAGTTTGAGAGTCTATTCAAGAGGTTGGTTGCCTGATAACATGTTCCTGTGAGACTGTTTCAAAAGTTGGGGAAGATCCTTGGAATTCAAGTCAACCTCCTGGCACCAGAAAGGATCAGGCTATTATCTCTATGGCATGGCCCTAATTGGGGTTGGGTCTGTACTTTAGAGAATGGGTCTAATCTTGATTCCCTTTGGCTTTCTTCTCTAACTACTATTTTAATAATTTGCATAGGCATATGACAGTTCTGTATCTCTCCCTTAGTATTGCTAATTCCTTCATTATATTTTGTGGTTTCTTTGTTTCCTTATGAAGTTTACAATTTTTTTTAGCTCCTTTTTTTTGTTTTGTTTTGTATCTTCTTTCTCCTTTTTTTAAAAATTTCTTTTCAGCGTAACAGTATTCATTGTTTTTGCACCACACCCAGTGCTCCATGCAATCTGTGCCCTCTCTAATACCCACCACCTGGTTCCCCCAACCTCCCACCCCCACCCCTTCAAAACCCTATTGTTTTTCAGAGTCCACAGTCTCTCATGGTTCACCTCCCCTTCCAATTTCTCTCAACTCCCTTCTCCTCTCCATCTCCCCTTGTCCTCCATGCTATTTGTTATGCTCCACAAATAAGTGAAACCATATGATAATTGACTCTGTCTACTTGACTTATTTCACTCAGCATAATCTCTTCCAGTCCCGTCCATGTTGCTACAAAAGTTGCGTATTCATCCTTTCTGATGGAGGCATCATACTCCATAGTGTATATGGACCACATCTTCCTTATCCATTCGTCCGTTGAAGGGCATCTTGGTTCCTTCCACAGTCTGGCGACCGTGGCCATTGCTGCTATAAACATTGGGGTACAGATGGCCCTTCTTTTCACTACATCTGTATCTTTGGGGTAAATACCCAGTAGTGCAATGGCAGGGTCATAGGGAAGCTCTTTTTTTAACTTCTTGAGGAATCTCCACACTGTTTTCCAAAGTGGCTGCACCAACTTGCATTCCCACCAACAAAAGATTATCTACCATGACCAGGTGGGATTCATCCCTGGGCTACAAGGATGGTTCAACATTTGCAAATCAATCAATGTGATAGAACAAATTAATAAGAGAAGAGAGAAGAACCACATGGTCCTCTCAATTAATGCAGAAAAAGCATTTGACAAAATCCAACATCCATTTCTGATTAAAACGCTTCAAAGTATAAGGATAGAGGGAACATTCCTGAACTTCATCAAATCTATCTATGAAAGACCCACAGCAAATATCATCCTCAATGGGAAAAAGCTTGCAGCCTTCCTGTTGAGATCAGGAACACGACAAGGATGCCCACTCTCACCACTCTTGTTCAACATGTATTAGAAGTCCTAGCAACAGCAATCAGACAACAAAGAGAAATAAAAGATATCCAAATTGGCAATGAAGAAGTTTACAATTTTTAATTGCTGGTAATTCACAGTGAGTTTTCCTACCTATGGGATTCCAATATATATTGTTGTGTGTACTTGTAGCGGAAGTGTTTCCTTCTATTTGATTCTTCTGGAGGGCCCAGGTGTCTCAGCAGGCTGTAATCAATCTTACATTCACTTATGGTTTTGGTCCTACATGGCTCAGAAATGGAATTTAACCGCACACTCTGGTGCAAGATATCAGTGTTTCCGATTTTTCGTAAGTCTGCATCCAGACTTGCAGACAGGCATGTTTGCTTGTCATTTTCTGAGATGTGATAGGAACAATTCTACAGCCACTTTTTCTAAGGGGGAAATCCTTCCAAAGACTTGACTTTGTCCACGTGTTTTTCTTGAGCCCATTTCTGTCTTAAGCTCACACTCCTGGGACTATCTCTGTTTAGAGACTGTAAGCCATGTTGGAGATGATGGATTTCAAGCCATCACTCAATCTCTTAAAGAGTGAGCAATACTGTTACGCTGAAAATAAATTAAAAAAATAAAAAAAAAAGAGTGAGCAACTCCAAGGATGTCACTAACAATTTATTCGCTTGGTACTTGAAAAAAAAACTTTATTGAGGTATGACTTACATACCATACAATTTACTTATTTATATAATTCAATGGTTTTCAGTATATTCACAGAATTGCTCAACCGTTACCACCATGTAATTTTAAAATTTTTTCACCACCACAAAAAGAAACCCAGTGCCCACTGACCATCATTGCCTGTTACCTTACCCCCCACACCCCAACTCTGCAGGATCCAGGCAGCCAGTAATCTACTTTCAGTTTCTACAGACCACAACGAACTTTTCACAAATTGTGGTAAAAAATACGTAACTTTTTTTTTTTTTTTACCATTTTAACTATTAAATTTTTTTTATTGTAACAAAAAATTCATAACATGAAATTTACCATCTTCAGCAATTATACATTAGTGTGCAGACATTCACATTGTTGCTCCGGAACTTTTCATCTTTCAAAACTAAACTCTATACCCCAAAAGACAGTTGCTCCTTGACAGACATAGGGTTTCATTTTAACCATTTTTGAGTGTACGGTTCAGCAGCATTAAGCCCATTCACATTGTGGGGATCTGTCTCCAGAACTTTCTCAGCATCCAAAACTGAAACTCTGTATCTATATATATTTGTATCATTATTCGAATCATAACATTTTTAAAAGTTTTTTTTTTTTTTTAAGTAATCTCTACACTCAGTGCGGGGCTCAAACTCACAACCCCGAGATCAGGAGTCCCATGCTTTACCAACTGAGCCAGCAGGTGCCCATCAAATCTTATCATTTGTGAGCATGTTTGCTCCCGTGACAGGTGGATTGAATAAAATAAAATTCACAGGGTTGCATTATGCTCCTGCGAAGAAGTGACTAGAAGTCCCCATACTCTGTCCCTAAGCCAAGCCTTACACCTAACCGAAATCAACCCTATATAAGAACTGTGTAGGCCAATGCACTCACCATTCAGTGCCTGGAACAAAAAAAAGCAGACTGGAATTTATTTTTACTACATTAAGGGAGAGTTATGCTGGTATGCGGGCCAGATGGGATGTCTCTGAGACTCTGAGCAGAGCCTACAGATGATCCTAGACATGGTTTTTGGGATTCTCTGGGCCTCTTGGGGTTTGGAATTATTTGCCAAAGGTGTTTGTTTAAAGGGGACTTTTGATTGGCTATCACTCACAGGAGTGCTTACTCGAGTAAACCTGTTTCTGATTGGCTGACATTTAGAAGCAAGGAGCTGGTGGGTTGAATGGCCAAGGCATTTTCCCTGAGGCGAGTGGTCATTGCTGATGGGTGAAAACCCAGTTCTGGTGGCTCCTTGTCACCATGGCTACAGGATAATATAGTATTTTCCTAGGATTGGAGGATCTTTTTATTCCCAGGGTTACACCATGCTCTTCCAAACAAGCCCCTGGTGTGGATAAAACCATTTGTGTGAGGCTAATCTTTTCCCTCTGTCAGGATCAAACCCCCTTTCATCTCTTGGGCCCAAATCCTGGCTCTGATGTAAAGTCTCTGATTAGCCCTCCTCTGAAACTATGGCACTTCCTTGTAGTTTAACTGGCCCAATCTCTAACATGTCCTTCATCAACTTCCTTATTCATAATCTCAATAAATATTTCTGATATTTTATGCCATGTAGACCTCATGAGAAACACTACAAAGAGATGAATCAACAGACTAAGCAGTATATTGAAAATTCCCAGAGGAGATGCTTGTTTGGGTTGTTTTCACAAGTCTATTGATTTTGCACTGGAGGCATGAGACATTTTGAAATGTTTCATATATACAATGGAATATTACTCAGCCATCAAAAAGAATGAAATCTTGCTATTTGCAATGATGTGGATGGAACTAGAGGGTATTATACTAAGCGAAATAAGTTAGAGAAAGACAAATATCATATGACTTCACTCATATGTGGAATTTAAGATACAAAACAGATAAACACAGGAGAAGGGAAGGAAAAATAAAATAAGACAAAATCAGAGAGGGAGACAAACCATAGAGACTCTTAACTATAGGAAACAAACTGAAGGTTGCTGGAGGAGAAGTCGGGGGGATGGGTAACTGGGTGATGGGCAAAAGGAGGGCACTTGATGTAATCAGCACTGAGTATTATATGCAACTGGTGAATCACTAAACTCTACTTTTGAAGCTAATGATACACTATATGTTAATTAATTTATTTTAAACAAATAAATAAAAAGAAAAAAAGAAATGTTAGTTTCAAAAGAACAAGAGAGTCTTCTTAACTATGGGGAAAGCATGTGTTAATACAAAAATGTCAGTGTAGGGAAAACCAGAAGCATACATGTCATGGAATATATGGTATGTTGAATGGACATTATTAATAATTAATTAGTAGCATTAATAATTTATGGAATTCTAAGTGTTAAGGTCTTACCTAGAAGGTGGTGAGGATATCTAGTTTTGCTGATAAATTCAAGACAGATTGAAATTTTGAGCCAGACCTTCTGTAGAGGCTGGGAGAAAAACAGTCAGCAATGAGAACTGAGAATGCATTGCATGATTTTTATCAAGGAATGAGTTAAACCAAGACTATACCAAGAATTTTATCACCAACATCTAGAAAGGTGGTGCACAACTATATCAGATATGTATAAGAAAATACCATTGGTTTGAAAATGGATCCAAAATTGTTAGTGCCTCTTTCTCTCTTTTGTTCTCCCAGTAGCTCTGCAGGACTCCACAAGTGCTGACTCATTTCTAATTCAGTGATTTGTGTCTACCTTGTGGCTGTCAGGGGTTTGTTCAAAGGTCCACATGTCTTTCTGTTTACTCCAGCTCAGCTCAGGAAAATCTGCTCTGTCTTCCTTGTTTAGAGTCTGATGGCTGTGCCAATTTTCAACCAGTATGACCAAGAGAGCCACAAGGACCAGCACTGCCACACTCATTCGGATCAAATTTCCCATTGTGTAATCTTGTTTCATTATATCTGCAGATGCAATTCAAAGGAGATAGCAATCATTGGTCATGTTCCATTTTATCCCAACCCAGAAGCCCTGAAAAGGAGCTCATTTCCCTATTTCTTTCATTTTTTAATTTTTTATTGTCTTATGTCAGTCACCATATGGTACATCATTATAGTCAGAACCCCTCCTCAATGAGATCATGCCTTCATGAGCGTCATACCTAATCTTGAACCTGGGTCAAAGGGGAGTCTTGTGAATGGGAAATGAGGTGCTTAGGGGATGTTGTGTTTGTTTTTCATTCCCTCTTCATTTCCCTCGAAGTCTAGTCATATCCTTGCAACACCTCCATACACTTGGAAGGCTAAATTTTTTCCTCAACACTTTCTTCACCCCACATAACAACCTGTGTTCCTCTTTCATACATGACAAAGGATACAGCACTGTTGGTATCTGGGAAGTAGCTCGGAGAAAATTTTCAGATACTCTTAGGTAAATTGCATCTCCACTATTGTGTGATTGTTCACTAGACATTGCTATTCTCTGAATCTTTAAAAAAAATTCATTTGTTATATGGACTTTCTGGGCCCACGTTTCTCTCAAAGACGTAATAAAATACTCTGAAATAACAATGCTCAGAAATCATAGTAACTCTCTTGTTAAAATTCAGAAAGTAATTTCAAGTGGATTTGGAATTTCAAATTAGTTCCTACTTACAAAATGCAAAATATTTTGAGTTTGAGAGGATAATACAGGCTAGTATTATCCAGACACCAGGATAGATGATTTCTAAGACAAAATGCAATGACTATCAGCTCTAAAGAAAAAGACTAATAAATTCACTCCTCCTCCATTGATGCCCAATTATCCATGCACTGTTAAATGAAAAGAGCACTCTAGCCTGTATGATCTTACAGTACCATGACCATTATATGTGCTCAGCTTGTAGAGTGACTGGACAAGGTAGGCACAAGAGATGAATGTGGTTGGCCTGCTCAGCAGTCAGCAGTTGCTTTCTTTTTCTGTAACTTGTCTTCTCCTGCTTAGTAGAGGGATGCAACTGCTGTGATAATGGGGCTCATGTTAGAGTTTTTAGAGTTCTTCCCATGAGCCATAAGTTTCCAGCCAATCACTCAGGGCAGACTCTAGTACAGAAGGTCAGTTTAAGGGTTTCCAGATGCAACTAAGGATGTGAAGAGAAATGGGTTAGTCTTTGAAGTGCTGCCTGAGATCTATTGTCTCAACAATACCCCTTAACATGATTCTGAACTTTGGCTGCTCCATTCTCAACAGACCATGTGGGAGATGAACCATGAGAGACTGTGGACTCTGGGAAACAAACTGAGGGTTTTAGAAGGGAGGGGAGTGAGGGGATGTGTGAGCCTGGTGATGGGTATTAAGGAGGGCATGGATTGCATGGAGCACTGGGTGTTATATGCATACAATGGGTACTGCATCAAATACTAATGCATCAAATACTAATGATGTACTGTATGGTGACTAACAGAGCACAATAAAAAAAAGGCAAAGAAAAAAAATAAAGGGCACCATCTGGAGAGCTCTAGGAGATGATATGAAAATCTAATGGGGCATGGGTTAAAGTCTTTCTCTCTTCACAGTCTCTACTGCCCCACTGTTCTTTCTCAGTGATTCTCTTTGTATTCCTGTCTGAGGCCAAGGCCCCAGGGGAGGAGGACACAGGGCTGGGCTGGGGTGCACCTACCTGTGACCTCAAGCCTCAGGGCATCACTGGGGGCTGACCACACATAAGGGCTTCCACTGTACCAACCATAGCACCTGTAGTTCCCTGAGAAGCTTTGGTTCACAGGACCTAGAATGAAGTCGCCTTGGTGTCCCCCAGTTTGGTTCTGCGAAGTCGCCTTGGTGTCCCCCAGTTTGGTTCTGTCCCCCAGGGCAGCTCCTCCTTCCTTGGTCAGTGAAAATCTATCAAATGGGATGTGTGCTGAACTGCACCGCAGGGAGATATTCTTCCCTAGCATCACCACAGTACCCTGGTCAGCAGCGAGGAAGGGTTTGTTGTAGAAGCCTGAAAGAGAAGAGAGTGAGCTCTTAGCAAGATTTTTCTTCCTTTCCCCGTTATACCCACCACTCCTATTGGGGCCCTGGTAAGAGAAGGGAACACGCTGGTGGTCCCTGACCCAAAAGAGTGGGAGCTGGGAACATCCCATTTCCCTGCCCCAGGACCCTTACTCTGTTCCAGAATATCGCAGACAGAGCTTAGCAAATGAGCAGCCTCTGGGGCTTGGACAAGACGCCATCCTCAAGAGACAGAGAGGTCTTGTTTCTAGAGCCATAAGACCCTTGTGATTCTGTTCCAAGTACAGCATGTGGGGTTTCCCCCTGACACCACCAAGCAATCCTGAGACACCCAGCGGGCATCCCATAATTCAACTTAATTCTGACACTATCTACCTGGAGGCAACATCAGATCCCGAAGGTTAAGGGCTCAGTCCCGAGACTGCTCCCACTTCAGATGCCAATCACAAGCCCCCTGTGTCACCTGCGGTCCTGGCAGAATGGCTGTAAATCATAAGTTCCCACAACGCCGTCTTTGGGTTCATTTGATTTGCCAGAGCTTCTTACAGGCTCAGGAAATCAGCTTACTCGCTAGATCCCTGGTTTGTTGTAAAGGATACAATCAGGGACAGCCAGATGGTAGGGATGCATAAGGCTGGGTGCCCTCTTCAGGTGTGCTGCTCTACCACGTGCTCACCAACCTGGAAGCTCTCTGAACCCTGAGCTTTTGGATTCTTACGGAGGCTTCATTACCTAGGTATGGTTGATTAAATCTTTGGCCATTAGCCATGGATTCAACCTCCAGCCCCTCCCTGCTCCCTTGAGGTGGGGGTAAGTGGGATGGAAAGTTCTAACATTGTAGTCACATGATTGGTTCTCCTGGCAACCAGCCTCTGTCCTTACTGTGGAGTCCAAAAGTCACCTCATTAACCTAACCTCAACTACGGTGGGAAGGGGTTTGTTAGGAATGTCAAAACATCTTTATCTTTCTTAATCATTCAGGAGATTCCAAGGGATTTAAGAGCTCTGTGCCAGAACAGGAGCAAAGACCAAATATATAGATATTATTATAAATCCCAATACCACAAGCCATATTTGGGGAAAGTGGGGGATAGTGTCCAGGGTTTGAGGAGCTGCGTCAGAGGCTGAGAGAGGCAACATTGTGTAAAAAGAACGTTAGCAGGTGAAAAGACTGGGAAATTCAGAATGAACACTTCTAGAAACAAACTCTTCTAGAAACACACGGTCAAGCCACCCTGAGGACAGAGAGTTTAACATCTAGGGCTGGACTTGTCGGGGGAACATAACTTCCCCCTCCTTAGGCACAGGCTGCCTTTACTGATTTCTTCCCATACAGGAAGGGTCAGGGAGAGAGACCTGCATGTGCTCTCTCAGCCAGGTGCTCAGACTCAGCACCAACAGCTGTGTTCATGTGTATGGTGTGCACCATGATGTGAAGTGGTGAAAATGGCACTGTGCTTCTGTGGTCTTCCTCCAAGATGCCCAGGACCCCTGTCCCACCACGAGAGAAACATCAGACAACTTCCAATGACTCAGCACCAACAGCTGTGTTCATGTGTATGGTGTGTACCATAATGTGATGTGGTGAAAATGGCACTGTGCTTCTGTGGTCTACCTCCAAGATGCCCAGGACCCCTGTCTCACCACAAGAGAAACATAAGACAACTTCCAATGGTGGGGCATCCTACGAAGTGCCTGACCAGCCCTCCTCAAAGCTGCCACAGCCAAGAGGAGCCCAAGGAGATATGACAACTGCATGCAATGTGGGATGGGATCCTAGGGCAGATGAAGGATGCTGCGTAAAAGCTAAGAAAATCTTTTTTACATTTTATTTTAATTAATGAATTAAATTATGTTACGTTAGTCACCATACAGTACATCATTAGTTCTTGATGTAGTGTTCCGTGATTCATTTTTTGTATATAATACCCAGTGCTCATCACAACATGTGCCCTCCTCAATACCTATCACCGGGCTCACTGATCCCCGACCCCCTTCCCTCTAAAACCTTCAGTTTGTTTCCTGGAGTCCATAGTCTCTCATGGTTCATATTCCTCTCTGATTCCCCACCCCTCCTTCATTTTTCCCTTCCTTCTCCTAATGTCCTCCGTGCTCTTTCTTATGCTCCACAAGTAAGGGAAACCATATGATAATTGACTTTCTCTGCTTGACTTTTTTTTCACTCAGCATAATCTCCTCCAGTCCCCTCCATGTTGATACAAAAGTTGGGTATTCATCCTTTCTGGTGGCTGAGTGATATTCCATTGTGTGTATGGAACTCTTTTAAATTTTTATTTAAATTCAATTAGCCAACATATACTACATCATTAGTTTCAGATGTACTGATCAATAATTCATCTGTTGCCTTCCATACCCAGTGTCCATCACATCAGGCGCCCTCCTTCATGCCTCCTTCAGGCCATTCTCTATCACCCATCCTTATTAAGGAAACCTAAATAAACTGTGCACTCTGGTACATGCTTAGCTACCCAGAGGGGTTCATTAATGGTAAGAAAAGTGCCATACCAACAGAATGTCAACAAAAGGGGAGAGTGGGTGATAGGTATATGGGGCTGCTCTGTCCTATCTTCTCAATTTTTTCTGAAACCTGAAAACCTGTTCTAAAAGTCAAGTCTATGAAAAAATAAGAAAGAAAAAACACCCGAGGACTGGAGACTCTGGATGTGTTCTCACCTGTCACCATCAGCTCCAAGGCTTTACTGTGCTCTGACCAGTGGTCCTGTTTCCTATACTGGCACTGATAACGCCCAGCAGTGTTTAGATTCATGTGTTTAATGAGGAATTCAGCCTCATTCTGAAATCCCAGTTTCTTCTCCACCACCTCGAATGTGAAGTTTCTCAGGATTTCCAGTTGGTACAAGTAAGACTCAGGAGTCCCCCAACACAGGATCTTCACAGACTCATTCCAGGGAATCACAGAACCAGGTGTGGCAGATATGACAGGAATAGGAAAATCCCCTAGAAGAAAATAAAGCCCAGACTCAGGGGGTCTGCTGTGGAGAAACCATACTTCTTTCCTTATCTGTGGGCAGAATACAAATAAATTAAGGTGTGAAGGACCTGCAATTCTTTCCTTTTAAAAATTGCCCAACTGTGGAAAGAACCAAGATGCCCTTCAACGGACGAATGGATAAGGAAGATGTGGTCCATATACACTATGGAGTATGATGCCTCCATCAGAAAGGATGAATCCCCAACTTTTGTAGCAACATGGACGGGACTGGAAGAGATTATGCTGAGTGAAATAAGTCAAGCAGAGAGAGTCAATTATCATATGGTTTCACTTATTTGTGGAGCATAACAAATAGCATGGAGGACAAGGGGAGTTGGAGAGGAGAAGGGAGTTGAGGGAAATTGGAAGGGGAGGTGAACCATGAGAGACTATGGACTCTGAAAAACAATCTGAGGGTTTTGAAGGGGTGGGGGGTGGGAGGTTGGGGGAACCAGGTGGTGGGTATTATGGAGGGCATGGATTGCATGGAGCACTGGGTGTGGTGCAAATACAATGAATACTGTTACACTGAGAAGAAATAAAAAAAAATAAAAAAATAAGAAAATCTTTCTTTTGGTATTTTCTAAATGTAGTAAAATATATATAATGTAAAATTCACTATTTCAACTTTTTAAAAAAAAATTTTTAGATAAGCACCACACTCAACGTGGGACTTGGAACTCCTGACCGAGATTGAGAATTACATGCTCTACTGACTAAGCCAGCCAGGCACCAACCCAACCCCCCATTTTAACCATTTTTTAAGTGAACAGTTCAATGGCATTAATTACATTCATTGTATTGTGAAAACATGACCTCTATTTTTAGAATTTTTTCATGACTCCAGACAGAACCTCTATAATCATTAAGCAGAAACTCCCCACTCCCTCTTTCTTCAACCACCAGTAATAGCTGATTTACTTTCTACTTTCAAGGTACTCCATATCAGTGGAATAATACAATATTTGTCTTTCCATGTCTGGTGTATTTCACTGAGCATAATATCCTGAATAAGGTTCACAAATGTTGTGGCATGTGACAGAATACCCTTTGTTTGAATGGCTGAATAACATTCCTATGTCTGTGTAGACCACATTTTGATTATCCACACAGGCCAATGGATGTCAGGTTTTTCCATCTTTGGCTATGATGAATAATGCTGATTTGAGCATTGGTGTACAGGCGTCTATGCGAGTCCCTACTTTCAATTCCTTTGGTTATATACATAGGAATGGAACTGGTGGGTCATATGATAATTCTGTTTCGCCTTTTGAGGAAACAAATTTCTTCCTTTTAATGTTAATTTTCTTTTTTTTTTTTATTTATTTTTTTATTTTTTTTTATTTTTTTTTAAAGATTTTATTTATTTATTTGACAGAGAGAGATCACAAGTAGACAGAGAGGCAAGCAGAGAGAGAGAGAGAGAGAGAAAGGGAAGCAGGCTCCCTGCCGAGCAGAGAGCCCGATGCGGGACTCGATCCCAGGACCCTGAGATCATGACCTGAGCCGAAGGCAGCGGCTTAACCCACTGAGCCACCCAGGCGCCCCGTTAATTTTCTTTTTGAGGTAAAATTTACATAGTGTATAATGAACCATTTTTAAAGAGTATGATTTGGTGGCATTTAGTTCATTCACAATGTTGTCCAACCATCACCTCTACCTTGTTGCATTTTTATCACCCCAGAGGAGATTTTGTACACACTAAGAGGTCACTTCCCACTCTTTCTTCCCACAGCCCCTCCCTTAGCAACCATGAGTCTGCCACAAAGTCTGAGTAGTGTTTTGTTGCCATGGAAATCCTCCTCAACAACTCACAACCTGCTGGTTCCTTTATTGAGGTTTATCATCTATTTTAGACTTGATAGTGATGTGCCCAACTGCAGCTCTGTGAAGGAGGAAAGACTCTGCCATGCTCAGGAGGATTGCCATCAAGGACAACCAGCCTACTCCCTGTGGCCATTGAAGGTGTTGACTGTATTTACCAAAAATTGCAGGATTTCCTGTTATTCAGTATTATTCATTCACCAATACAACAGTGCTTTTTTTTTCTTCCAAAGTATGTGGAGTGATGCCTCCATTAATGCAGACACAGTGTTCATTTAATACCATGACCTAAACCAGTGGTTCTCAATCGGGGGCAATTTTGCCTCCCAGGGGACAATATGACAATGCCTGGGGACATTTTTGGTTGTCAGAAATGGGACGGGAAGCACTGTTGGCATCTACTGGGTAAAGGCCAGGGGTCTTACAATGCACAGGACTTCCTTCCCAACAAAGGACTATCTGCCCCCAAATGTTGATAGGTCTGAGGTTGACCTACACAACTGGGGTAAGACCTTTAAGGGAATGATGATGTGGGAAATATCAGAAAACCCAAAAGACTCCACCCCCAAACTACTAGAACTCATACAGCAATTCAGTAACGTGGCAGGATACAAAGTCAATGTACAGAAATCTGTGGCTTTCTTATACACTAACAATGAAAATACAGAAAGGGAAATTAGAAAATCAATTCCATTTACTATTGCACCAAGAACCATAAGATACCTGGGAATAAGGCTAACCAAAGAGGTAAAGGATCTGTACTCGAAGAACTACAGAACACTCATGAAAGAAATAGAAGACACAAAAAGATGGAAGACCATTCCATGCTCTTGGATCGGAAGAATAAACATTGTTAAAATGTCTATACTTCCTAGAGCAATCTATACTTTTAATGCCATTCTGATCAAAATTCCACCGATATTTTTCAAAGAGCTGGAGCAAATAATCCTAAAATTTGTATGGAATCAGAAGAGACCCTGAATTGCTAAGGAAATGTTGAAAAAGAAAAACAAAACTGGGGGCATCACGGTACCTGATTTCAAGCTTTACTACAAAGCTGTGATCCCCAAGACAGCATGGTACTGGCATAAAAACAGACACATAGACCAGTGGAACAGAGTAGAGAGCCGAGATGGACCCTCAACTCTATGGTCAAATAATCTTTGACAACGCAGGAAAAAATATACAGTGGAAAAAAGACAGTCTCTACAATAAATGGTGCTGGTAAAATTGGATAGCTATATATAGAAGAATGAAACTCGAACATTCTCTTACACCATACACAAAGATAAACTCGAAATGGATAAAAGACCTCAACGTGAGACAGGAATCCATCAAAATCCTAGAGGAGAACATAGGCAGTAACCTCTTCGATATCAGCCACCACAACTTCTTTCAAGATATGTCTTTCAAGATATGTCAAGGAAACAAAAGTGAAAATGAACTTTTGGGACTTCATGAAGATCAAAAGCTTCTGCACAGCAAAGGAAACAGTCAACAAAACGAAGAGGCAACCCACGGAATGGGAGAAGATATTTGCAAATGACAGTACAGACAAAAGATTGATATCCAGGATCTATAAAGAACTTCTCAAACTCAATACTAATTTTTTAAAAATAAAAATAAAATAAATTTAAAAATAAAAAAGTATATAATCACAGGTCATGACACACAGTTTGCAGTGCAGAGATGTAGATCTTGGAAGTTTGATAATAGTGTAAGGGTTCAGCTGATACATGAGGATGAGTAGCATTTGACTAGGCAATGTGGATGGGTAGATCAGGAGCATTGTGGACAGAAGGGTTGATGGGAGAAGGGTTAATAAAGTACAAATAAGTGAGGGACAAATTAAAGTAAGTTCTGCATGGGTGTGGAGCAGAGTTTCAGTGGGAGAGCAGAAGATGGGTTGGGGGAGCAAATGCAGCTTGTGCGGGCAGCACTTGGGAGAACCAGTTACATCAGTAGATTTATCTGAAGTTTGACCCCTGAGGGGTTGGAGGGAGATAAAGATACCTGTGCTTTAAACACTCAAGTAATCCAGTCTACAGTCTTTGGAAGGAGCTGGAAGAGAGAAGACATGGATGGACAAGACAGTAGTGGAGGGGACAACATACACTCATACTTGAGAGCTACTTGGTGTCCAGTACAGAGACAGCTTGTGAGGGTGGGACTAAGGTAACATCCCATTAGATGAAGCAAAGTGGTTAGAGTGGAGAGAATTAGATTGTGAAAACAAGCAGGTCTGACACAGAGACAGATATTGGCAATCACCAATGGTTCCCAACTTCCTCACCCCTGCAGTTGTGAATAGTCAGTTAAATATGTGTTTTTGATATTGGGGAAGACAATGGAAGAAAACACTAATGGAAGAAAACACTAAATCCAGGTCTGAGTGAGATGTGTTTGGAGAGGGGAACACAGCAGAGATGGCTGGGATGGGGAATAAAATTGGAATTTGCTTGGGTTTTTGACTGCTCTTCCAACCCTTCTGTCCCAAGATATAAGGTAGCTTGGAGAGATTTAGCAGAACACTTACCTTCCTGTGCCCAAATCTTCTGGCTCTGACAGAGCACTGGAAGAGAGAGATTCATGAGAGATTAGTTCTCCAGTTTCTATCTTTATTTCAAGTCACCCTGCTTAATGACATGCAGGGTGTAATTTTTTTCTTCCACAGCAAGCATAGCTTTGAGGCTCATCTTTTAGTTTTATCTTCTAGATTCCAGGCCCTACAGCTCTCATCTATAGGAATTCTGGACCCCTCATGGATCTCTAGACAGCATTACATGGGTTTAATAGGTCCCATAAGCTACTTGGATTTGGGCAGACCAGTTATAGACACCTGGGCAAAGGCCAACTCTCCAATATGGTGGTTAGAATCTTCTGAGTCCTCATAGTAAGAGGGACATTTACTGTTTTGGAACTCCCCCTCCTTCCCCTGGACCCACTTGCTTTTGAGGACTCACCAAAACAGAGAAGGATGGTGTCTCTGGGATCCATGATTCTGAAACAGGCTCAGCCCAGTTAGTCTCTTGTTGGTGTACATTTGCAGAATGAGAGATCTTGTAGACAGTAAGATAGATCAGCAGGAAGTATGAGGTCAGAGTCTCTGGTCAGAGAATTTCTCCATCTATTGCCCCACAAATAATGGTTCCTTCCCAAGAACTTAGTTCTGGATAGCTCTTGGGTGGGGCCTGAGAGGAGACCAATCTTACTGCTTATGTTTCCTATGAGAAGTGAGTGTTTTCCTCAACTGATGTCTATTGGGGCTCAAATCCTTCTTTAAACCAGAGCCCACATCCAAGTGGAGGGGCCTGGGACAGAGTGTCAGATGGTGCCATACAGACAGAGATTCGTCTTCATTGGACCATTAGTCAAAAGCCACATGTCTTTGCCTGTTATGGACCCATGTGCCCTCTCTGGAATTCAGGGACTAAGTATATCCCCTTGGACTTGATCAGGAAGACAATATACTCTTACACAGGGGATTTTCTTTATGCCAGCATGCAGAGGAATTTTCTCAGGAGCTATTCATCATCTGTAGGGAAAGAAACTCTTATACCTATACCTATTCTTATCTATATATCTAGATACAGATACTGGATAGATAGATATTTAGCTAAGATGGGATGGGAAGTCAAATATTCCAAATCAAATTCTCTAACATTTGCCACATTTTAATTATAATACATACACTCTTGCCTTCCAATACACCAAATGCCCAAAGTCTTGAGCTTCTCCCATCTTTTGGAAGGCACCACCAACAGTCAGATTTTAAAAACAGTGAAAATGAGTCTTCAAGAGAAATGACTTTGCCAAAGACCCTGCAGCTAAGAAGGAGCAAAACAAAATTTAATTGTTAAACATCCAAAAAATATTAATCTCTGAAGCATGTCTTGGACTCTCCAGGGGAGATGCCAAGGTTATTTGATCACTTCATCCTGGGATGAGATGATCATGACCAATATGTTACATTCCAATGACTGATAGAGAGTGGATTTTTCTATTTGCTTGTAGGAACATAGTGACTTACCCTTGAGGGACGGGTCGACTTGAAAAGACCCGAGGGATCTACTTTGAGAAATGGTGAAAGTTGCTTTTCTTAGTATATACTGATATGTGAACATTTTATGTTTTATGTCAGAGAATAAATGGAAGTGTTGCTATCTAGCTATAAGATATATCTATCTACAATATCTATTTATATCTAGATATACATATAACTATACTATCTATCTATATAACTACATCATATATCTATTTATCTATATATATAGTTATAATATATATCGATCACTGTCTAATAAAATATGCCTTTGTCATTGAAAAAAAATGAGTTTACTTCAGGATATATCACATTTCCCAGCTGCTAGTGTTTTGAAATGGTGACCAGCATTGTATCCTAGACAAAGGTTTTTTCAGCTTTAGTACTATTGACATTTGGGGCTGGAGAAGGATTCTCTGCTCCCTGTGTGTGTGGAGGAGGCCATCCTGGACACTGAAGGGTGCTGAGCAGCATCCCTGACCTCTGCGTGGTAGATGCCAGTAGCAACCCCCTCCACAGTCATGACAACTAAAAATGTTTCCAGATATTGCCATAATGGTCAATATTGGTGGTGGGCAATACTGGTGGGCAGTATTGCCCAACTGAGAACCAGTGTCCTGCACCATCTGTTGGCACATGCGGGCTGTGGAACTGGACCTTGTCCTGAGACATCACTTAGCTTCATACATCCCACAGCATCCCACCTCCCTTCCTTGAGGCATTTAGGTTCTACAGGATGTAGGCCCCACTTAGGGTCACAGAATGTAGATCAGTCCAGTGGGAAGGCCTCTAGAGCACATTTCCAAGCACAAATCCTCAAAGTGTTCCTTTAACCCTGAGGTCTCAACAAGTTCCTCCCAGAATCAAACCTATCCTAAACACCCTGTTTTTTCCTCCCAACTACCCTGAAGGAATCTCTTGCTTCTCTACCAAGGAGGAAGACACTGTAGTCTGGAGGAAAAACATGCCTTCTCACATTCATTCATAACACTTCATGAGAAGCTACCTGGAGACTTAACCTCTCTTCCAAACTCTTGCCTTAACCCTAGCATCCATGCTGAAACTCTGCTCAAAAAGCCACATCTAGGCTGGGGTTGCAGAAAACCTCAGTTGTCCATGTGATCATTATGGGTTCATGCATGCCCTGATGTCTGGGGAATTCCAGGTAACTCCACCATGTTTCCCCTTGGAGATCTCAGTAAGATATAATATGCTTGTTTTCCTTCCCTGGCTATTGTACACCTATGTTGTGCAGAAACCAGGAGCCCCACAGAACTGATCCATACCCTGAGTGCGGTCTGTCAGGCTCTGTCATCACTGTTCAGGTCCCTCTACAAACTGATGTAGAGGAAGAGGAAGCTGAAAAACATCCTTTCTAATTGTAGCTGTTTTCCCACAATGTGTGATGAACAAAATTAACTGACTTCCTGGAAATTTTTTGAGCCAAGTCCAAGGCCATACTTGGTTCCTAAACTCAAGTATGTTTTAAAGTCCATATCTGGAACAATCCCCTAAATCCAAGGTGTGACCTTTGTTTACAGGGGGTGGTATGGATGGGCTCAGGGGTCTTCTCTTTGGGGCCCCATGATGGTCAACGACTGTGCTGTGTTGTGTGGCCTTTGACAAGACACACCTTCTCTTTGACAAGGCACTTAATCTCTTTGAATTTCCCTACTTTGCAAAGTGGAGATAACAAGGAGCTCTGGCAAATTTTACATAAAGATTCATCAAGGAAACATACGTAAAGCACATTTCATTAAACAGGTGCTCAAAAAGGTGTGAATTCCTGTCATTGCCACAAAGACACCTATCATTTTCACTGTTGTTCACTAACAAAGATGTTTACTAACTTTGATGCTAATTCTGCATTCAAAATATTGCTAGACCTATGTTCTAATGAGCTTCCCAAACTCAGATGTCTTAATTTCTTACACTGTTTTGTTTTTCCAGAATCATCCAGATAGACCCACTTGCTCCTACTGGATCTCCTTGATTGAGCCTTGGGGCCAATCATCTATACTGAGCTGAGACATGGTGTGCATGGGACTCTTTAATGTGCCCTGAAGTGGGAGCTGCAGAGGTGGTGGGAGAGAGCCAGTCCCCATGCTGGGGACACCAGCCCGGTGCTCTCTGGCAACCAACCAGAGTTACCAGGTGTCTCTCACTTGAGGATGTTTGGACCTGCCCCAGCATGGCTTCCCAGATTCCAGTAGGAATGGGTAGACCTATCCAGATGATTCTAGAAGGATGAAGGAGGGCAAGAAATTTAAGACATCAGAGTTTGAGAGACTTACCATGACTAGATACATAATTGTGACATAGTCACACAATGGATTCCTATACAGGAGGGAAGACACTTCTCTTACATGCATGGATAGGATTAAATTTCAAACATAGACCAGTGGAACAGAGTAGAGAGCCCAGATATGGACCCTCAACTCTATGGTCAAATAATCTTCAACAAAGCAGGAAAAAAATATATAGTGGAAAAAAGACAGTCTCTTCAATAAATGGTGCTGGGAAAATTGGACTGCTATATGTAGAAGAATGAAACTTGACCATTCTCTTACACCATACACAAAGATAAACTCAAAATTATAAAAGACCTCAACGTGAGACAGGAATCCATCAGAATCCTAGAGGAGAACATAGGTAGTAATCTCTTCGATATCAGCCACAGAAACTTCTTTCAAGATATGTCTCCAAAGGCAAAGGAAACAAAAGCCAAAATAAACTTTTGGGACTTCATCAAAATCAAAAGCTTCTGTACAGCAAAGGAAACAGTCAAGAAAACAAAGAGGCAACCCACGGAATGGGAGAAGATATTTGCAAATGACAGTACAGACGAAAGATTGATATCCAGGATCTATAAAGAACTCCTCAAACTCAACACACACAAAACAGATAATCATATCAAAAAATGGGCAGAAGATATGAACAGACACTTCTCCAATGAAGACATACAAATGGCTATCAGACACATGAAAAAATGTTCATCATCACTAGCCATCGGGGAGATTCAAATTAAAACCACATTGAGACACCACCTTACACCAGTTAGAATGGCCAAAATTAGCAAGACAGGACACAACATGTGTTGGAGGGGATGTGGAGAAAGGGGAACCCTCTTACACTGTTGGTGGGAATGCAAGTTGGTGCAGCCTCTTTGGAGAACAGTGTGGAGATTCCTCAAGAAATTAAAAATAGAGCTTCCCTATGACCCTGCAATTGCACTACTGGGAATTTACCCCAAAGATACAGATGGAGTGAAAATAAGGGCCATCTGTACCCCAATGTTTATAGAAGCAGTGGCCACGGTCACCAAACTGTGGGAAGAACCAAGATGCCCTTCAACGGACGAATGGATAAGGAAGATGTGGTCCATATACACTATGGAGTATGATGCCTCCATCAGAAAGGATGAATACCCAACTTTTGTAGCAACATGGACGGGACTGGAAGAGATTATGCTGAGTGAAATAAGTCAAGCAGAGAGAGTCAATTATCATATGGTTTCACTTATTTGTGGAGCATAACAAATAGCATGGAGGGCATGGGGAGTTAGGAGAAGGGAGTTGAGGGAAATTGGAAGGGGAGGTGAACAATGAGAGACTATGGACTCTGAAAAACAATCTGAAGGGTTTGAAGAGGGGGGGTGGGAGGTTGGGGGAACCAGGTGGTGGGTATTAGAGAGGGCACAGATTGCATGGAGCACTGGGTGTGGTACAAAAACAATGAATACTGTTATGCTGAAAATAAATAAAAAAAATGTTTTAAAAAATGGGCAGAAGATATGAACAGACACTTCTCCAATGAAGACATACAAATGGCTGTCAGACACATGAAAAAATGTTCATCATCACTAGCCATCAGGGAGATTCAAATTAAAACCACATTGAGATACCACCTTACACCAGTCAGAATGGCCAAAATTAGCAAGACAGGAAACAACGTGTGTTGGAGAGGATGTGGAGAAACGGCAACCCCCTTACACTGTTGGTGGGAATGCAAGTTGGTGCAGCCTCTTTGGAGGACACTGTGGAGATTCCTCAAGAAATTAAAAATAGAACTTCCCTATGACCCTGCAATTGCATTACTGGGTATTGACCCCAAAGATACAGATGTAGTCAAAAGAAGGGCCATCTGTACCCCAATGTTTATAGCAGCAATGGCCATGGTCACCAAACTGTGGAAAGAACCACGATGCCCTTCAAGGGATGAATGGATAAGGAAGATGTGGTCCATATACACTATGGAGTATTAGGCCTCCATCAGAAAGGATGAATCCCCAACTTTTGTAGCAACATGGACGGGACTGGAAGAGATTATGCTGCGTGAAATAAGTCAAGCAGAGAGAGTCAATTATCATATGGTTTCACTTATTTGTGGAGCATAACAAATAACATGGAGGACATGGGGAGATGGAGAGGAGAAGGGAGTTGAGGGAAATTGGAGGGGGAGATGAACCATGAGAGACTATGGACTCTGAAAATCAATCTGAGGGTTTGAAGGGGCGGGGGGTGGGAGGTTGGGGGAGCCAGATGGTGGGTATTATGGAGGGCACGGATTGCATGGAGCACTGGGTGTGGTGCATAAACAATGAATACTGTTACGCTGAAAAGAAATTAAAAAAAAAAAGAAAAAAAATTTCAAACATACAATGTTGAATGAAAGGAGTCAGTCTCAAAAATGCATACTATGTGATTCCATGTAGATGAAACTCAATAATAGCTAGGAAGAAACACGACTAATGAGATGATAGATTTATTTGTTTATATAACATAGCAACACAAGTCAGAACTTACCCTTGAGAAGGAAAGGTGGTTTTGTGGACAATATTGGAAATGTCTGGATCATCATAATAGTATCCTAGAAGGGATGGGGGGTTTTCTAGGGGGGTTCCGAGATTTTTATTCCTTCTTAGGATGAGAGGAAGATGAAGACTTCTGTCTTCCGATTCTGGCTATTGTTGAGTGGGCGGGGGGTGTTCAGAAAGTGCTATGGCATCCATGGAGAGCCTCCTCAAGGTCTTCTTGTGGGTTCTTGGGGCATAGGATTTATGCCTTGATTGGTCTCAGCCTGTTGCGAGTTCCATGTACACACTTTCATCATGCAAGGGTTCCCCAGGCCTCTGGGAAGTAGGAGTGGTGTTTTTCTTCATGAAAATGCGATGATCCAACTGCGTGTATGTCACTTCCTGTGGGTGTTCTGCTTGAGGGTCCTGCATGACAGGAAATGGTTAAGAGGATGAGCACAAACTCAGGGGATTTAGAGGAGATGAGATGGCCCTGAAGAGGGTGAGGTGAGGACAACCTACCTCCCTGCTCACCATTCTATCCACTTCAGGTTCTCTGCTCATTATAGCAGCATCTGCAAGGAATGGAAGTCATCAGAAAAACTTGGAAGGTTCTCATTTTATAGATACAGATACCAAAGCACAGAGAGGTGCAGTGAAGGCCTGGAATTACTGCCACAAAGTAGAGTCAGAAGTTCTACCTCTCTGAAGTTCAAAGATGTATCCCCTTCGTGTCTCCCTATTTCCATTCTGTTGATGAGGATGGGGGCATGGAGGTTCTCTCTAGAAAGCCCAACCTCTGTGGCTCCTGCTTTGAACCAAGAGTCAGCCTGCACACAGAGGTCCCCCCACTCCCCCACTCCTCCCCAGACAGGCACTGGCCTCTACTTCCCAAGACTCACCCTCTTTGGGAGGGCACCACTGACGAGTGAGGAAGAAAAGAAGGATGGTGAGGAAGACGATGACCACTAAGGGCACAGCCAGAACATGCTGGTGTCCGGGGTTACCTGTAGGAAGAAATGAATCCAATAGAAGCAAATCCAGGCAGGCACCCAGTCTACTGCCATCTTGGTTCCAGCCCCATGAGACCATTTCAGATCTATGACCTACACAACTGTAAGATTATTTTTAAAAACTGTGTTGTTTTCATGCACTGAGCTTGTAGAGATTTGTTATAGCAGCCCAGGAAATGGATACAAAGTGCATATCCAGCACGAGGATGTATAGTGGAGCAGTTCTTCAATGAATAAATGAGGCAATCATGAATTTGGGTGGCAGACTGCATTCTCAGTTCTCTCTCCCTCTACTGGGTACATCACGGTTGCAGCCTGACAGACAAGAGCTAATTTCTTGGCAAATGGAACTTCTCTAAGCACTGCCTGCCCCTCACCAAATGCTCTCTTCCTTCCCCCTGCCCTCAAGTCCCCACAAACCTTATCTCCACTTAGGAATGGGGACAGAGTAAGCCCAGCATTATTCCCAGCCAGGAGATCAGGTTTATTCTCACCCTCCTCTCCTGGAGGAGGTCTCTGCTGCAGAAAATTAGAGGTTAAGAGTCCTCACTGGCCCCGTGCTGACCCAGACTGCTTCTGCTGTCATAGAGTCTGGGGATCAGAGAGGGAAGGTAATAAGCCCAAGATCACAGAACCAGAAGGTGGCTGAGCCAACACTCAAACCCAAGGCTTCTCTCTGTCAGGTTTCCACAAACAGGGATAAAAGGGACTCTTTACTCACCAGTTTTGGAGGTTGGTTTTGTGGATGGGAGACGACTATTGAAGAGTTTCATAAAAAACAAGCCAGGAGAGAGGTGGAGAAGTGGAACTGACTGTCTTCTACCCACTGAAGCTCCTCATCATCTAACACTGAGCTCCTGGGAGCTCCTAGAACCCCTCCCCAGAATCTCTGGGGCCTTGACTCCCTAGGGCTTCAAGCTGCTGAGAGGAGACGGGAGAGGTTGATGATGAAAAGGGCCTCTACTAAAGAGGAGGCTTCTCCATCTTGTGGTAAAGACACTCATACCACCTGGGAGAGCACTTTGTGGGCGAGAGTTGAGGAAGGGCTGCTAGGAAGTGGGTAATGGTGATGGGCCAATGCAACATCTGATATCGATGTTAAACCGAGCCTCTTCTCTCCTGATCCTGGGTTTGCCCTGACCTCTTTCCATCTTCCTGGGGACAGAGATCCCCAGTTTGGGTCACCACACAAGCCATGCAGGAGGATGCTGGAAGTGAGTCCTCAGTCTCTCCTTCCTTGTCTCTATCTATGCTTCCATCTCCCCAGAACTCCTAAGCATCCCACTAGTACCAGCAGGACGCCCCTGTCGTATGGCCTTCAAATCTATCCTGAATCACTGGACACAGAGCAGGTTCTGGACTTCCTCACCTGTGACAGAAAGGTACAGTGGGTCGCTTGGGCCTGACCACTCACAAGGAGAGCGGTTGAAGGAGCCATGGCATCTGTAGGTCCCGCCCAGGGCTGGGTGTGCGGGGCCCAGAGGGAAGTCAGCCTGGGTTGCACTGCCATGCTTCTGCCCCTTAGCAAGCCAGCACTCATGGGGCTGCTCATCTCTGGATAGATGATACACATCAAAGGACCTCTCTGAGCAGCAGGACAAGGTCACGTTCTCTCCTGTCCTCACCACGGTGCCTGGCTGGGTCCAGAGAGAAGGTTTCTCATGTAGACCTGGAGGAAGTGGAGGCGGTTCAGTACAGAGAGGCTCTTCCTTGCTCATAGTGTCCTTCACACCTGGACTGAGAATTCTCTCCCCCTGTTCCCAGAGCCCAAGACCCACTGTGTCCCCTCATGTCCACCTCTCCTACTGTTTCTTGTGCTTGCCTCCCTCCTATCCTTTTTCCCTTTAAAATTTTTTTTAAGATTTTATTTATTTATTTGACAGAGAGAGAGATCACAAGTAGGCAGAGAGGCAGGCAGAGAGAGAGAGAGAGAGGAGGGGAAGCAGGCTCCCTGCTGAGCAGAGAGCCTGATGTGGAGCTCAATCCCAGGATCCTGGGACCATGACCTGAGCCGAAGGCAGAGGCCTAACGCACTGACCCACCCAGGCACCCCTCCTTTTTCCATTTTGTGCTGCCTTACTCTCTCTGCCCCTCCTGGGGTCTGTTGGTTTGAGATGCCTTTTACTTTAATTATGAGTCTCTCATTCCACCTTGTCTTTGTCTTTCTGCATTATCTATCTATCAATCTATCACCTATCTATCTATGTATCTATGTATCTATGTATCTTTCTATCATCTATCAATCTATCATCTATCTCTCTACTATCATCTATCATCATCATCTATCATCTCTATCATCTATCACTTATCAATCTATCACCTATCTATGTATCTATCATCTATCAATCAATTATCTATCATCTATCTATCACCTATCAATCTATTATCTATCATCTATCAATCTGTCACCTATCTATTTATCATCTATCTATCTATCTATCTGTCATCTATCAATCTACCTTCTATCTATCTATCATGATCTATCAGTCTATTATCTATCTATCTACCTATCATCTATCTATCTATCTATCTATCATCTATCTATCATCTATCTCCATCACCTTGGTTTCTGTGACCTGCTCTGATTCTCTGTCCCCAGTCCTCTTCTGGGATCTCTGTCACCCACCCCCACATCATCTTTCTCTTTTTGCCCCACTCTCAGGTCTCAGTCCTTTAGGGCTTTTATCTGCACTCTCCATCTTTCTATTTCTCTACCCCTTTTTCTTTCTTTTGTGTTTTGTGCCTCCAAGCCAGTGTCTGTCTGTCTGTCTTTCTCTGTCATCCCTCCATTCTGTGTGTGTGTTCACAGGCACACATGCATTTCTGGTCTATTTACACAGAAACTTTCATGAACATTGACACACATTGACTTTGCTTTCTGTCTGATGGCAACTCTCTGCAGGCTTTGACCTCAGTAATCCTGTAACATCTGGGGTGACCTTCAACATAGGCCTGAGAGTCAGCTTTGGGAACCCATAAAACATACCACATACAGGGGCTGGTTCAGGTTCCTCCACCCGGGAGCATGGTTTCCGGGGGCCTACTGTGGCTCAATGACATGGGATGAAGGCATGTGAGAGTGCATGCAGCGTCTGTGGGTGCCACATGTGGTGAGGACCCGGGGCCCATTGGTCACCAGCGTGAGACAGACCAGCCTGGCCCTGAAACTTGGTCACATACATGGTGTGTCTTTGGGTTTACCTGGTAGAGAAAAGGGCATGGACATTAACTGGAAACCACATTCTAAACTGTCCCAGGTCTCTGAACAAACTCAGGGTGGAAGAGCACCCTATCTCTGATGGGGGTGTACCCGACTCTATCTGTCCCTTTGCTCTTTGCCTCCATTACTGACTCTGTCTCTGCCCCCTATAACAAGCAGTTTCTCTTCTGTCATTGTCTCTCTTGGTGTAGCTCTCGCCAAGGCTGCCTCTCTTCTTCAAAACCCACGTTCATCTCTTTCTTCACCACCTGGGGCTTCCAGGTCTTAGAACATCCTATCTGTATCTCCAAGAGGATGAGGACAGGTCTGGACAGTCTCACCTGTGATCACGATGTCCAGAGGGTCACTGGGGGCAGACCACACATGGGAGGAGCGATTGAGAGAACCGAAGCACCTGTAGGTCCCTGCATGGGCGGCTGTCACAGGACCCATGGAAAAGTTAGCATGGGAGCCCCCATGATGGTGCTGACCAGCACGGTACAAGGGGTCCTTGGATACCCCCTCTCTGTGAAGAATGAAGCTTTCAAACAGGATCTCTGAGCAACAGACCAAGGTCATGTTCCCTCCTGATTTCACCAGGGGACCCGACTGGGCTAACAAGTAAGGTTTTCTGTAGACTCCTAAGAACATAGATGTTGTAAATTGAGAAGGAGCCACCCTGCCTCTCCCCATTCCCTGGGATCTGAAATGACTGAGGGTGCCCTGTGTCTGTCTGTCTCCTTCTCCTCTGTGTCCTTTTCTGTCTGAATGTCCCTGTCTATCTCTGCCCACGTGGGTCTTATGGGCTAGGATCAAGGGAGGGGTTGACAGGACTGGGGTCCTTCTGGAGGCTGAAGGGAAGAATTCGAACTTGAGCCTTTTCTGGCTCCTGGGGGCTTCCTGTATTCCCTGTCTTGTGACTCCTTCCTCCATCACCAGGGCTGGCAGTGGCTGGTGGACTCTCTCAGGCAGCATGACTCTGAAGCTCATTCTCCTGCTTCCTTCTACTTTGTAATTACAGTAAGCTTCACCTGGATAATCCAGGATAATCTCCCCATGTCAGGGTCACCTACTTAATAACCTTAATTCCATATTCACCCTTAATTGCCCTTGGACTATTCATAGACGTGGAGTGTTATGATATAGACATCATTGGGGGGGCCATTATTCTGCCCACCTTCATGAAATGCCCTTTCATCAACAATACTTGGAGCCATTCCCATTGTTCTAACTGGACTTGACTAACACTCCCATCAGGAAACTCTGACATTAGAAAGATTGGGATAGTGACTAGCCCCTCTAGACAGGTGTTCTCTGACCTGTGACCACAATCACCAGGGGGTCACTGGGTGCTGACCACACAGAGGGGGAATCATGGTAGGATCCACGACAGCTGTAAGTCCCTGCATGTTCTGGGGTTACAGGGCCAATGAGAACACTGTTTTGAGATATTGTGCTGTGGAGCTTGGAGATGAAGATGTTATTGTCCTTGTACAGTCTGAATGTTTCAAACTTGTGATGGGAGCGACAATGAAGAGTCACATGCTGCCCTTGAGGAACTACGGGGCTTGGCCAGGCAGAGAGGGAGGGCTTGTTCTGACCACCTGGGGGAGGAGGAGGCACAGAATTGGTTTCCCCTCCCTTGACTCAGAGGCCTCCCTTCTTTCCAAGTCTCCATGGCTCCTTTCCACTCCCATCATGCCCACACCACACATAGACTCCCCACACCACACAGACATGTAGGCCTCTCCTACAACACACATGTCAGCTGACAGTTCTGGGTGAGTACTGAACAGTGGGCTCTTCCTAGGTGTTAGTAATGTAAGTCAGTTATGTAAAAGAAGACAAAGGAGATGCTGAACAGAAGAGTAATGACCTATGTGTATGCCATAACATCAGCATAACATGCCAAAACCCATGAAGCAGGTTACATGATAGTGCCATGTTGGAATGTGCTGGAATTCCAGGGGTCCTGACATGGGGATCTCTCCCCTCTGCTGAGAACATCAGTGGCAGCTGCCTGGGGCTCCTACCCTCGTGGGTGTGCTGGGGAGCTCGAGTAATTGTCCCAACTTCAGACAGTCTGTTGTTCCTGGCACTGCTTGCCAACTCTGATCTACAGACAGCACCAGTTCCTCCTAGACGTCCCATGTCTGAGCAGCAGTATCCTCCAGATGGCTTTAGAGCCTGGCTCAGCCAAGGGGAAGAAGGTGTAGGGAGGGTCTCTGGACCAAAATTGGGACTAGGGTTTCCCTGGGCCCCCTACTTTCTAGTTCACAAGAGATTCACCCACATTTCCTCCCACAGTCAAACCATCACCCAACTTCCTGTGCCGTCTGCATTCCTATTACAGGAATTCTCTTATTCTGAGTGGATGGCAGCCCAAGGTTTGGGGAAAGGACTCACCCACTTGTGCCCCGATCCTCTGGTTGAAGAAGAACCCTGGAAAGAAAGACTCACAATGGATTGTCCATCTCCATAGAAGACCCAGCCTCCCACTCCCCCGACCTGGCTTGAGCGTCACCATCAGGTCTGCTTTGTCCCCATGGGAATGTTCTGCTGTGGGGAGACCAAGCCTCCCAGGCCAATATTCCCACCATGCATTCCCTCTCCTCGTCCCCTTCTGGGACTCACCAAGACATGTGAGGCTGATGACTGCAGGGGACATGGTGCTGCTCCTGCTGCACGGTGACCCAACAGAGTTGACAAGTACACAGGATGTCGTGAAATGGGGTCCTGTTCATGTTCATAAGCTGACCGCAGCGAGGAAAGGTGACGCACACTCTTCTTACTCTGCATCTAGGTGGCTGTGGGGACTCAGTGGAGGGTAAAGTTGGGCTTCCTGGAAATCGTTTAGACTGGACCTGTCGTGTCACATCATTTACTGTGGTCAGACTTGAAACACATCTCAGACACAATGTCTCATACCCAGAATGATGAAAGGATAGTAGTTTTTTTTTTTTAAATCTAAGCTTCAAAATCTCTGTATGTAACATACAACATATCTAGTAGATACTATTATAAAACAATTATAATATACGAATCAAAATGATTTTCTAAGCTGACATTTCTGGTACTGAACCCATATTTATTAAAAATTATTTAATTTCCCTTTTGAAGGATTATGCACTCATTTAGAATCATAGAATATCACTTTATTAGCAAAGAACAGTGCATGTAAATTCTGGATCATATGGTTTTACCTGAAATTCATTGTATGACCCAGAAATCCAAACTCAGAGATTCATCTGTCTGTGTCTATCTATATATATCTCTCTCAATGTTACATAAATTTAAATATCCATTAATATAATGCTATGGTAAATTCACCTTCTTTTAAAAAATTTTTTAAATTTAATTTCTTCTTTTTAAATTTTAAAATTTTTTATTTTTATTATTGTTTTATTTATTTTTCTAAACACAATTTATTTAAAGGAATGACATGAAAGGAAAGAATGGCTGATTTCAGGGCTTGGAATGGGGGATTACAAGATGATGCTGGGACATCTTATGCCATAAACTAAAGGAATACTCAAAGGATGACAGGGACATATCAGAAGGGTGTTGGATCCAGCTGAAATAGGTTGCCACTAACTAAATTTGGGATAAACTGAACATCAGTATAGGCAATAGTAATAATGGATGTATGCCATTTAATGAAATTAGAAAGCATGAGTCTATCCTGATATAAATAAATGAATACATTGACAATATGATGAGAAATGAAATTCTTACATAGTTTAAAAGAAGCTTCTCACAAAATTAATTTCTAATTACAAAGAGAAAAGGACTTACAGCCTCATTTCTGTGGTATTCCTGCCAAAGATGCATGATTTAATTTTTTTAAATTTTTTAAATTTATTTTCAGCGTAACAGTATTCATTGTTTTTGCACCACACCCAGTGCTCCATGCAATTCGTGCCCTCCCTAATACCCACCACCTGGTTCCCCCAACCTCCCACCCCACGCCCCTTCAAAACCCTCAGGTTGTTTTTCAGAGTCCATAGTCTCTTGTGGTTCACATCCCCTTCCAATTTCCAACTCCCTTCTCCTCTCCATCTCTCCTTGTCCTCCATGTTATTTGTTATGCTCCACAAATAAGTGAAACCATATGATAATTGACTCTCTCTGCTTGACTTATTTCACTCAGCATAATCTCCTCCAGTCCCATCCATGTTGCTACAAAGTTGGGTATTCATCTTTTCTGATGGAGGCCTAATACTCCATAGTGTATATGGACCACATCTTCCTTATCCATTCGTCCGTTGAAGGGCATCGTGGTTCTTTCCACAGTTTGGCGACCGTGGCCATTGCTGCTATAAACATTGGGGTACAGATGCCCTTCTTTTCGCTACATCTGTGTCTTTGGGGTAAATACCCAGTAGTGCAATGTCAGGGTCATAGGGAAGCTCTCTTTTTAATTTCTTGAGGAATCTCCACACTGTTCTCCAAAGAGGCTGCACCAACTTGCATTCCCACCAACAGTGTAAGAGGGTTCCCCTTTCTCCACATCCTCTCCAACACACGTTGTTTCCTGTCTTGCTAATTTTGGCCATTCTAACTGGTGTAAGGTGGTATCTCAATGTGGTTTTGATTTGAATCTCCCTGATGGCTAGTGATGATGAACATTTTTTCATGTGTCTGATAGCCATTTGTATGTCTTCATTGGAGAAGTGTCTGTTCATATCTTCTGCCCATTTTTTGATATGATTATCTGTTTTGTGTGTGTTGAGTTTGAGAAGTTCTTTATAGATCCTGGACATCAACCTTTTGTCTGTACTGTCAATTACAAATATCTTCTCCCATTCCGTGGGTTGCTTCTTTGTTTTGCTGACTTTTTCCTTTGCTGTGCAGAAGCTTTTGATCTTGATGAAGTCCCAAAAGTTCATTTTTGCTTTTGTTTCCTTTGCCTTTGGAGACATATCTTGAAAGAAGTTGCTGTGGCTGATATCAAAGAGGTTACTGCCTATGTTCTCCTTTGGGATTCTGATGGATTCCTACCTCACATTGAGGTCTTTTATCCATTTTGAGTTTATCTTTGTGTATGGTGTAAGAGAATGGTCGAGTTTCATTCTTCTATGTATAGCAGTCCAGTTTCCCCAGCACCATTTATTGAAGAGACTGTCTTTTTTCCACTGTATATTTTTTCCTGTTTTGTTGAAGATTATTTGCCCATAGAGATGAGGGTCCATATCAGGGCTCTCTACTCTGTTCCACTGGTCTATGTGTCTGTTTTTATGCCAGTACCATGCTGTCTTGGTGATCACAGCTTTGTAGTAAAGCTTGAAATCAGGTAACATGATGCCGCCAGTTTTATTTTTGTTTTTCAACATTTCCTTAGCAATTTGGGGTCTCTTCTGATTCCATACAAATTTTAGGATTATTTGCTCCAGCTCTTTGAAAAATACCAGTGGAATTTTGATCAGAACGGCATTAAAAGTATAGATTGCTCTAGGCAGTATAGACATTTTAACAATGTTTATTCTTCTGATCCAAGAGCATGGAATGGTCTTCCATCTTTTTGTGTCTTCTTCGATTTCTTTCATGAGTGTTCTGTAGTTCCTCGAGTACAGATCCTCTACCTCTTTGGTTAGGTTTATTCCCAGGTATCTTATGGTTCTTGGTGTTATAGTAAATGGAATCGATTCTCTAATTTCCCTTTCTTTCCCTATACTTTGAAGCATTTTAATCAGGAATGGATGCTGGATTTTGTCAAATGCTTTTTCTGCATTAATTGAGAGGACCATGTGGTTCTTCTCTCTTCTCCTATTGATTTGTTCTATCACATTGATTGATTTGTGAATGTTGAACCATCCTTGTAACCCAGGGGTGAATCCCACCTGGTCATGGTGGATAATTTTTTTTTTTTTGCTAGAAGCTGGTTTTTTGAAAGAATCAATAAGATCGATAAACCATTGGCCACACTAATCCAAAAGAAAAGAGAGAAAGCCCAAATTAATAAAATTATGAATGAAAAGGGAGAGATCACAACTAACACCAAGGAAGTAGAAACAATCACCAGAAGTTATTATCAACAGTTATTGCCAATAAGCTAAGCAACCTAGATGAAATGGATGCATTCCTGGAAAACTATAAACTCCCAAAATTGAACCAGGAAGAAATTGACAACCTGAATAGACCGATATCTAGTAACGAGATTGAAGCAGTGATCAAAAACCTCCCAAAAAATAACAGCCCAGGACCGATGGATTCCCTGGGGAATTCTACCAAACTTTCAAAGAAGAAATAACACCTATTCTCCTGAAGCTGTTTCAAAAAATTGAAGCAGAAGGAAAACTTCCAGACTCTTTCTATGAAGCCAGCATTACCCTGATCCCCAAACCAGGCAAAGACCCTACCAAAAAGGAGAATTTCAGACCATTATCACTGATGAATATGGATGCTAAGATTCTCAACAAGATCCTAGCAAACAGGATCCAACAGCATATTAAAAAGATTATCCACCATGACCAGGTGGGATTCATCCCTGGGCTACAAGGATGGTTCAACATTCACAAATCAAACAATGTGATAGAACAAATTAATAAGAGAAGAGAGAAGAATCACATGGTCCTCTCAATTGATGCAGAAAAAGCATTTGACAAAATCCAGCACCCGTTCCTGATTAAAACACTTCCAAGTATAGGGATAGAGGGAACATTCCTGAACCTCATAAAATCTATCTATGAAAGACCCACAGCAAATATCATCCTCAATGGGAAAAAGCTCGCAGCCTTCCCGCTGAGATCAGGAACACGACAAGGATGCCCACTCTCACCAGTCTTGTTCAGCATAGTATTAGAAGTCCTAGCAACAGCAATCGGACAACAAAGAGAAATAAAAGGTACCCAAACTGGCAATGAAGAAGTCAAACTCTCTCTCTTTGCAGATGACATGATTCTTTATATGGAAAACCCTAAAGACTCCACCCCCAAACTACTAGAACTCATACAGCAATTCAGTAACATGGCAGGATACAAAGTCAATGTACAGAAATCAGTGGCTTTCTTATACACTAACAATGAAAATACAGAAAGGGAAATTAGAGAATCGATTTCATTTACTATGTGGTCTATTCTTGAGAAGGTTCCATGTGCACTTGAGAAGAATGAGTATTCTGTTGTTTTAGGGTGGAATGTTCTGTATATATCTATGAGGTCCATCTGGTCCAATGTGTCGTTCAATGCTCTTGTTTCTTTATTGATTTTCTGCTTCGATGATCTATTACTGAAAGAGGCGTGTTAAGATCTCCTACTATTAATGTATTCATATCAATATGACTCTTTATCTTGATTAACAGTTTTCTTATGTAATTGGCTGCTCCCATATTGGGGGCGTAGATATTTACAATTGTTAGATCATCTTGGTGGATAGTCCCTTTAAGAATGATGTGGTGTCCTTCTGTATCTCTGACTACAGTCTTTATTTTTTTTTTTAAATTTTCATCATAAGAGTATTCATTGTTTTTGCACCACACCCAGTTCTCCATGCAATCCGTGCCCTCTCTAATACCCACCACCTGGTTCCCCCAACCTCCCACCCCTGCCGATTCAAACCCCTCAGATTGTTTTTCAGTGTCTTTAGTTTAAAATCTAATTTATCTGATATGAGCATCGCTACCCCGGCCTTTTTTTTTTCCCATTTATTTATTTATTTATTTATTTATTTTCAGCATAACAGTATTCATTGTTTTGTTTTGTTTTTGATAGACATCTTTATTTATTTTTTTACTTTTAAAATTTATTTATTTATTTATTTTTACTATTTTTTATTACAATTTTTTTTATTTTCAGCATAACAGTATTCCTTGTTTTTGCACCACACCCAGTGCTCCATGCAATCTGTGCCTCTCTAATACCCACCACCTGGTTCCCCCAACCTCCCACCCCCCACCGCTTCAAACCCCTCTGATTGTTTTTCAGCGTCTTTAGTTTAAAATCTAATTTATCTGATATGAGTATCACTATCCCGGCCTTCTTTTGAGGCCCATTGGCATGAAAGATGCTTCTCCATCCCTTCACTTTCAGTCTGGGTGTATCCTTAGGTTCGAAATGGGTCTCTTGTAGACAACATATGGATGGGTCCTGTCGTTTTATCCAATCTGCAACCCTGTGTCATTTTATGGGCCCATTTAGGCAATTCACATTGAGAGTGATTATTGATAGATACATTTTTATTGACATCATGTTACCTTTGAAGTCTTTCTTTCTGTAGATTGTCTCTGTATTTCTATTCAATGCTATTCTTAGGATTTTTCCTCTTTTATAGAACCCCCCTTAATATTTCCTGCAGTGTTGGTTTGGTGGTTGCATAGTCTTTTAAACCTTGCTGGTCTTGGAAACTCTTTATCTCTCCATCCATTTTGAATTTCAGTTTTGCTGGATAAAGTATTCTTGGCTGCATGTTCTTCTCATTTAGTGCCCTAAATATATCTTGCCAGCCCTTTCTGGCTTGCCAGGTCTCTGTGGACAGGTCTGACATTGTTCTGATGGGCTTTCCTCTGTATGTAAGGAGCTTTTTGTCCTAGCAGCTTTCAAGAGGGTCTGCCTACAATTATAATTCTTCATTCTTACTATTAGGTTTCTCGAGGACTTTTGAGAATCTATAATCTTGGGGGGAAACCATTCTGCCTCTAGTACATGAATGCTGGTTCCATTTGTGAGATTGGGAAAATTTTCATGGAAAACTTGTTCCAGTTTATCTTCTAGACTTCTTTCTTTCTCCTCCCCTTCAGGGATTCCAATAATTCTGACGTTGGAACGTTTCATGGCATCATTTATTTCCATGATTCTGTTTTCGTGTCTTCTAAGCTGTTTGTTCCAGGCTTCCTCCTGATCCTTTCTATCTGTTTGTCCTCCAGATCACTAATTCTATCTTCTGTCTCAGTTACCCTAGCTTTTAGAGAATTTAGATTAGATTGGAGCTCATTGAGAGCATTGTGAACATCATCCCTGGTGGCTTTCACTTCTGCCCTAACATTGTGAACATCATCCCTGGTGGCTTTCAGTTCGGCCCTAATCAATTCCGTTTGGTCATCCATGGCTTTCTCCAACCTAGCTATTGCCTGGATAATTGTTAGCTTGAATTCCCTTTCCGACATATTGTCTATGTCAATAGCCATTAGCTCTGTTGCAGAAGGCCCATCCTCTGTATTTTTCTTCTGTTGGGCATTCCTCCTCCTAGTCATTTTGGTGAGAGATGGCTGAATGGATGTAGCTGGATGTATTGACCATGGTGCAGTCAAGGTGCACCCTCGAACGGTTCTGCCCACTGGCAACTTCTGCCCCTGTAGAGATCCAGACGTCTATAATTCTGATCTCAGGCTAATTTCATGGGTGATCGGAGTTCTTTGGTAGGTAATCAGCTCACTTTAGGGTACAGGTTGAAACGGCGCCTCCTCCTACTTCCCCACCATCTTGTCTCCCAATTTAATTTCTTTTCAGTGTAACAGAATTCATTGTTTATGCACCACACCCGGTACTCCATGCAATACGTGCCCTCCATAATACCCACCACCAGGCTCCCCCGACCTCCCACCCAACCCCTTCAAAACCTTCAGATTGTTTTTCAGAGTCCATAGTCTCTCATGGTTCATCTCCCCCTCCAATTTCCCTCAACCCTCTTCTCCTCTCCATCTCCCCATGTCCTCCGTGTTATTTGTTCTGCTCCACAAATAAGTGAAACCATATGATAATTGACTCTCTCTGCTTGACTTATTTCACTCAGCATAATCTCCTCCAATCCTGTTCATGTTGATAGAAAAGTTGGGTATTCATCCTTTCTGATGGAGGCATAATACTCCATAGTGTATATGGACCACATCTTCTTTATCCATTTGTCCATTGAAGGGCGTCTTGGTTCTTTCCACAGTTTGGCAACTGTGGCTATGAATCGTGGCTATGAATGCTGCTATGAACATTGGGGTACAGATGGCCCTTCTTTTCACTACATCTGTATCTTTGGGATAAATACCCAGTAGTGCAATTGCAGGGTCATAGGGCAGCTCTATTTTTAATTTCTTAAGGAATCTCCACACCGTTCTCCACATAACAATTTTTATATCTCCATTTCATTGTTCTGGACTGCAATATAGTATTTCTTGCATGAATATATCAACATGTATTTTTCCATTCTTATTATTATAGATATCTGGCTAGCATGCTTATCTAGATAATACAGGTGATAGAGATACTTTAACAATAGTATTCTTCCAACCCATAAACTTGGGACATCTTTCATTTGTTTGGGTCTTCTTCATTTTCTTTCATCAAAAGTCTTACGGTTTTCAGGGTATAGCTTTCACCTCTTTGGTTAAATTTATTCCCAAATATTTTATTATTGATGTTATTATAAATGAAATTGTTTCCACCCCCTCCACATCAATTCAGCTTTTATTGTATCTTTCAAATATCACAAATATTGTGTTATGGTTGTCACTAACATAACACAATCAAAAATAATAATAAAAAATAAAATATCACAAATAAGTTTGAAAAATCACCTGGCATCTTGCTGTTTCTGTAGCTGGAAAACTTGGATCTTGTTCATCAGCATGCTGAGCTGTTCTTTTCTCTGAAACAGAGATACCACCCAAACATTTTTTAGTTATCCTTCTTTTTTTTTAGATTATTTATTTATTTGACACACAGAGAATACATGTAGACAGAGGTAGGCAGAGAGAGGAGGAAGCAGGCTCCCTGCTGAGCAAAGAGTCTGATGTGAGGCTCGATCCCAGGACTCTGGGATCATGACCTGAGCCAAAGGCAAAGGTTTTAACCCACTGAGCCACCCAGTTGCCCCTGGTAATCAGCATTTTTAACTCTTCTGGCTTACTGAATGGAAGCAGCTGAATTTGATTCAAATTCAATCTCATTTTCTTCAAGAGTTAACTGGACTCTCTGGGCTTGAGTTATTGAACAAGCAACACCTGGCGTCCCCCAAACCTTGTGGATGTGTTTTTCACCAAGAAATTTTGGATTTTGATGTGAAAACCAATCTCCTGAATGACAACAGTGTTGCTAATGTCATGCTGAGGTTTATGAGAGAACTAAACTGTTTGTTGCACTTAACAAAAGTGCATGTCACCTTGTTATTTGAAGGGTGTGGAACAGCATACAGAGTCTGTGGGGCTACTGTGAGAATCAGCAGCACTGGACCGAGGTCTGGTCCCTACGGTACTTCAGGTCACAAGGGTAAGATGGGCTTCATGTGGAGACACAGGACCCTGACCTGACAACTCCACTCACCAGGGGCACTTTCTGTTGGTGGCATTTGCAGTGCCCACAGTCATTACTTGAGGCCTGCTGGCTTATTCTGGGATCTCAGAGAGCCTGGTTATCCTCGAGCTCAGAGCATTTCTCTTCCTGCAGGTGTAGAGGTGTAGAGGGTCATATTGCCATTGCCATGGAAATGGGTCAGCATATCTAGGACCCTCGTGCATGGTGAATCCCGGAGGAAATGGGGGTCTTTCTTCACGGGTCCCACTCTTTTCTCTCTCCAGAAGTAAGATCCATAAGGGAAGGAACAATTAACTGTGGGGCAAGAATTATTCCAGGGATTGTCATTAGAGGTTTTCCTGTGTTGGAAGCTCTCTGCCACCCAAAAGTCATTTCCACTTAAAAAAAATTATATATATTTTAAAGATATTTAATTTATTTATTTGACAGAGAGAGATCACAAGTAGTCAGAGAGGCAGGCAGAGAGAGAGAGGGGAAAGCAGGGTCCCTGCTGAGCAGAGAGCCCCATATGGGTCTTGATCCCAGGACCCTGAGATCATGACCCGAGGCGAAGGCAGAGTCTTAACCCACTGAGCCACTCAGGTGCCCTATTTCCACTTTTTAATACAACACTAAGGTCGAGGGGTTCTGTATCTGTTTTCAAGGTCAAGCCCCTAATAAGTTTCCATCTAGGAATGGAGTGGAGAGAACTCTGACCCTGGTGACCAGCAGCCTTGCACACAGCTGTCTGCCCTGAACTCTCAGAGATGAGGGATGGGACAGATGAGGAATGAGCTGGAACTGAGGTTCCTCCCAGCTGCTCAGGATGACGGTCTGTTAGGACAGAGGGCGAGTCCATGAGGAAGAACAGACAGATTCTTAGAGACGGACCTATACGTAGCTCAGGCATTTGTATGGTTTACCGCCATAATGGATTATGGGAAGCTTTTCCTCCCATTATTTATGGGGTTGAAGTTAGTCAGTTGTGCTTAAAAAATGACTGTCTCTTCATGAACATTATATATGTGATGGATTAATCATACGCAGGGTTCTTGACATGTGCTTTCCTATACACGATGTGGAGGATGAAATTGATCTGTACACTGCTGGTGGTTTCAGTTTGTGATTTTTCAACCTTAAAACATCCCATTCCACATTTGCCATTAAATACTAATTGTGAGGGGCACCTGGGTGGCTCAGTGGTTTAAGCCTCTGCCTTCGGCTCAGGTCATGATCTCAGGGTTCTGGGATCGAGCCCCGCATTGGGCTTTCTGCTCAGCAGGGAGTCTGCTTCCCTCTCTCTCTCTGCCTGCCTCTCTGCCTACTTGTGATCTCTCTCTGTCAAATAAATAAATTCTTAAAAAAATACTAATTGTGAACATTTTTTTCATGTGTCTGATAGCCATTTGTATGTCTTCATTGGAGAAGTGTCTGTTCATATAAGTCAAGCAGAGAGAGTCAATTATCATATGGTTTCACTTATTTGTGGAGCATAACAAATAGCATGGAGGACAAGGGGAGTTAGAGAGGAGAAGGGAGTTGAGGGAAATTGGAAGGGGAGGTGAACCATGAGAGACTATGGACTCTGAAAAACCACCTGAGGGTTTTGAAGGGGCGGGAGGTGGGAGGTTGGGGGATCCAGGTGGTGGGTATTGGAGAGGGCACGGATTGCATGGAGCACTGGGTGTGGTGCAAAAACAATGAATACTGTTACGCTGAAAAAAATAAAAAATTAAAAAAAATACTAATTGTGTGGGATAGAACTCTATGGTTTGTGTCTACACTGAGCAACACACTTGTCAATATTCTCCCGCAGGCGCCACGCCGACACACACGGCTGCCGCTAGGGTGTGGGCTCCTGGGGCGGAGCCGCGCCCCTTACTTTCACCAGGTGACTCTGATCTGCTCCCCAGCCTGTCCTTAGCAGTTTATACTCCTACCAGGAATGTGCTGGGATCTCAGTACACAGTATTTTCTCCAACGATGGCTATTGCCATTGTGTTCTCTTGCCTGTCCTGTGGCTGTAGTAGGATTTGTGTGTCACAGTTTCCCTGAAACCGTGGCATTACACTGAGCTGGAAAATACCAGGATGTTTACAATACAGGGAGGCACACGTGCACGTTGGGATGACCAGTGAGGTGAGCCCACAGCTGGATCACACTCACTCGTGATGACGGTGTATCCATGACTCCCACCTGGGTGCACAGTGCGTTCACACGGCTCCTTGATGTTGCCCATGACGGGAGTGTTTACACCAAAGAAGTGGGCAAATACTACAAATCACAACTTAAAAAGAAAAAAAACCCCAAACATTTAATACATGGAGCCAGTGTAGAAGCTCCCTACCAGGCTACCCTTCAAACGCCCCTAAGCTCACTCAAACTGATGGTGTTTCTGGAAGATTCCACTAGGTGTCGCCGCATGAGGACAGAAGAGCTCTGTGAGTCCAGAAAGGGTTCGGGGAATGGTTTTGGATTCATCTGTTGCAACGTGGACCTGATTTTCACCCACTTATTTACTTATGAAAACAGAGTCCGTGTTTTGGGCTGAAGGGATGGAGGACAGCAGCGCCCATCAGGGAAAGTGGAAATGGAAAGTGAAGGAAAATGAATCCCACGAAGGTGGACCAGAGCTGCCTCTGTAGGAAGGTATGAACCAGCCCTGCCTTGTGGGATGAACCCTCAAGTCACAGGGATGAGGAAAGACGGGGGCAGTCAAGGATGTCCAACAATGCAGGAGGGAAAGCACCACAGGTCACGGGGGATGAGTCCTGGACAGGGAGCAGCCCAGACATGTCCTGCACCTGAACCATGCTCCCCCTTGATGTTGTCAGCAGACAGATCAGCGAGGGTGAGCTGCAGACTTTCCTCCAGATCCCTCTGGGCACCTGGGATGCATGCCCACAGCTCTGCCACAGGGAGTGGTGGCTTTGCTCCCCCTCGTGTTTAGCTCCTGGCTGCGTCTGGGATCCTTCTCTGGCTGTGCTGAGCCTCTAGCAGCAGAATCCCGAGGACCACCAGGATCAAGACAGCCACACCCAGGCGGGTCAGATTCTCTACGGTGTAATCTTTGGGGTCTGAGGCTAGGAATGAGGACAGAGAGGTTGCAGATGTCAGAGAGGACCCAAATCACCATATCCTGCATGTCCACCTAAGGTACCTGCCTCCCCGAAGAGAACACCCCCCTCCACAGCAGTCCCATCACTGGGACTTTCTCCTACTCACCACTGCTGGGGTCTGAGTTGTTTTGGGGTGGGCTCACAGTGCCAGCTGCTTCCGCAGGGAAGACAGAAGCAGATGGAAGCAGATGGAAGGAGCTAGAGACCCCCGTCCAGCCTGTCCTCTGCTCTGTGTCTTTATCCCTCAGCCTGTCACTATGTGGTTTTTGTACAGTTCCTGAACTAGCCCTTCTCTGCACTAGGGGCTTTCCTCTGCTCTCCTCACTGGATTCCTTCAGCCTCCTTGTTCTCTTTGATTTCAGAGTATGCTTCTGAGTCACTCGGGATAGATTCTGGCTGTGCCCCACCAGCTCAGGGTTGCAGAGAAAAATGGCCTCCCAGCACAGAAATCATCATGTCCTCGCATGTTCTCTGCTCAGTCTGGGACACAAGACCTCCTGGGCTCATGTCCCTGCAGATGACAGTTTCCATTTATTCAGTAGCCGAGGTCCCAGCAGCATCCATGGATGAGGGGCTGGTGCCAGGGGCTCCTGACTGTCAGGAGCACAGAGGGGCCGATGTCTGGGGCCGGGTCCCTGTCCCTCCATGTCAACCAGCTCCCTTCCTTCAGGGTCTGCACTTTATTCTGTACCTACAGTATTCCTCCTTGGTTATGTTCATTAATTCATTCTTCATTTACTTACAGATACCCACAGTGCCACACACACACACACACACACACACAGAGCAAGAGAGAGAGAGATCTGTGTGCACACATCTACAACAGGAATATAAATATGTATCCACGAAAGGTGATGGTCAGTCACTGGGTCATAGGAACACTGTTATTGCTCACATGCAGTGTGGATCGAGATGGGAAGAAGAGGTACATAAGTAAACAAACAAACAAGCAAAAAAAGAGACTCATTGAAAATGTGCTAAGACCCGGGAGTGCCCAGAGCTTGTTCCCCACAAGGACCGTGTGAATCCATCTAACCCCAATGCACACAGGAGAAGGAGGACGGTTTCTGAGTCTGCTGTCCCTGTCACCTGAGTTCCCTTTGTCCTCATCTGCAGGTGCTGCTCTAGAAGGTGTGAGAAGCAGACACAGGGACACTGGACCAGCAACCACACACAATGCAGAGTGGACACCAGTGTACACAGACATGGGGTGCAGCCTCCCTGGGGAATCCCATGAGCCAGACTCGACCCTCCTGGGTCTCAGGTGTGCACTGAGGGGCATGTAGGCCCCCAGGTGAGTATGGAGGGCAGCAAGTGGTGCCCGCAGGTGGGAGACTTCTGTCCAGGAGAGTCCCTGACGCCATGGATTGGATTCTGCTATGGAGGGACAGGAGGTGAGTGGGAGGCGCTGTCTACTCACCATCATCCTCACTCACCCCCCACGCGGCCCCTAATCCTTACTCTGCTGAGACTGTACGATGGGGGACCCGGGTACACACTGTGGATCTTCCCAACCTCTCCAGGGCAGGACCCTCCTCTGTGGAGCCCCCCTGACCTCCACATCTGTTACTGTGTCAGGCTTTCCTGAGACATGGGTCCTGAGCTGACAGAGCTCAGACAGGACAATGTCAGGGACCCTTACCTGATACTAGGAGCTCCAGGGGGTCACTGGACTGTGACAACAGGTAGGGGGAGGTGCTGGCGGAGCCGTAGCACCTGTAGGTCCCCCTGTGGGCTGAGGTCACAGGACTCATGGGGAATTTAGCCTGGTGCTGCCCAGCTCGGTACTGTGATCTAAGACGCAGCAGGGGATTGGCTGCCCCCTCCTTGGACAGAAGGAAAGTGTCCACAGGGCTCCGTGACTGACACAGCAGGGTCACATTCTCTCCTGCGGCCACCGTGGGTCCAGGCTGCACTGAGAGGAGGGTGTGTAGGGCAGTTGTCCTAGAGAGAGGAAAGGCGGGTGAGGGCCTGTCCAGCCCTTGTTCTGAACTGAATCTGTCTGTGTCCTCCGAGTCTCTCCCTTCCCATCCCCCATCTCTCTCTGTCTCTCTCTCTCCTTGGGGACCCCAGAACCCTGGTCCCAGCTGCCACCACCTTGGGCTCCCCTGGCAGGACCTGTGCAGAGTCTGCGGTCCTGACTGAACCCATGAGCCCTCACCTGTGAGCAGGATGTCCAGGGGGTCACTGGGGGCCGACCACTCGGAGGAGAGGGTGTGTCCACCATAGCATGTGTACCGGCCCTCGTGGGAGGGTCTCACAGGGCCCAGGGGGAAGTCTGCCCCAGAGAGCCCAGCCTGGGGCTGCCGGCCAAGCCGCTGGGGAGGTTCAGGTGCCCCCTCCTTGGACAGAGCGAATCTGTCGTAGCTGACATCAGAGCGACACTGGAGGGTCAGGCTCTGTCCAGGTGTCACGACAGGGCCCTGCTGGGTCAGGAGGGAGGGCTTCCCCGACACACCTGGGAGAGACCAGCCGTGGAAGGCAGGGGCTGCTTCTTCCCAAACCTCCCTTCTCCCCTCCTGACCCCCGGGTCTCACTGTCCATCACCCTCCGTGACTCTGACCTGTGAGTTCCCGTGGTCCTCACACCCACCATCTCATTGGGGCTCCCCTGGGAGCAGAGTCCCTGTTAACCTGTCGGGTGACTCAAAGCATGAATGGGGCAATAGTCAGACTTTCTCACCTGACACCATCAACTCCAGGGCGTCACTGGGGTCCGACCATACCTGGGGGGTGTTGCTGTAATAGCCATAGCATCTGAACGTCCACCTGAGGCTGGGGGTCACGGGGCCCACAGGGAACAGGGCCTGGGTACCCCCATGGGTGGCTGCCTGGGAGACCAGGGTCCAGGAGGGCTGGCGCTCTCCTTCCTTCATCAGGACGAACTGTGGAATCCCATCCGTGAGGTACACTGGAGGGTCACATTCCCTCCTGAGGTCACAACAGGGCTGGGCAGGGCTGAGAGCCTGGGTTTGTCCTGGGATCCTAGGAGAGGAGGAGTGGACAGTGTAAAAAGAGGCTCAGGTCCCCTACATCATCCCCAGGCTGAGCTGTGGGAGGGAGACACTTGGAGGCAGACCCCCTTCCTGAGGGAAGAATCTGGGGCTGGGACCCTGAGTGGGCTCGCACCTGTCACCACCAGCTCCAGGGGGTCACTGTACTCTGACCAGTCATTGGGTTGTTCATAGTCACAGCGATATCTTCCTGCATATACATCTGTCATGTATGTGATGGAGAAGTTGGCCTTGTCCCCGGGCTCCAGTGTCTTCTGTGTGTCCCAGATCCATGAGTCTTCCTCTTTATGCAGGTGGTACTCCTCGGCCTCCAGGCCCCCCTGACACCAAATGGTCACAGGTGTCCCCCATGGCATCACAGAGCCTGGATCAGCCCAGATGGTGGGTTTGGGGAGGGTCCTTGGAAGGAAACAGAGGCTGGGACACAGATCTTCCTCACCCCCAGGTCCCAGCTCAGCACCAAACCCCCAGCGTGCCCCCAGAAGTGTTGGTCTCCGTCCCTCACTGCCTGCTGGGTGACCCCTGTGCCCAGTGAGGAAGTGGGGCTGGGGCCTCTGGGGACAGACTCACCTGTCTGTGCTTTGGTCCTGGAGTTTACACTCAGCCCTGGAAGAGAGTCCCTGTGAGAGGTTTGCCCTGAATCCTAGCAGAATCCCTCTTCCTGCAAGCCTCCTGAGCCTGGGGTCTCTGACAGACCAGGGCTTGACTGTGGGGTGGGTTCCTCCCAGACTAGGGCATCCCTTTCCCTCCTCATATCTCACCAAGACAGAGCAGGGCTGTGAGGATGGGGGTCATGGTGTCTCTTCTCTCTCACTCTGGATGTGCAGAAAGTGAGACCACGGCGCCCACAGGTCAGGCAGACACACAGGGTGTGGTTCTCAGAGGCAGTTGTCCTTTCATGGAGTTGTCACGTATGTAGGATATGACAATAGGAAGCTGAACAACCCCTGCCCAGGGGCCTAGCCTGGCTCTGGTGTCCATGATGGTGCAGCGGGGGGACCCTGGGCTCCCTGTGATGCCCAATCAGGTGAGGAGACCAGGGCAGGTCCTTCTCTCCCAGAGCCTCCCCCAAGTGTCTTCTTCATCCCCACAATCCTGGTCCTCACCATTGGTGGGACCCCAGACCCAGAGCTGCTGCAGGGGACATGGATTCCTGCATCACACTTGTGTGACGTCTCTGAATCAGTCAGGTCAAGGTCACGTTGACAATGAGCCCAGAGGAGAAATACAGGCAAATAGGGAAGGGAACACAGACCCTCTCTTGGCCCTGGATTGTGGGCTCTCTTTCTGTCACAGCCTCCAAGGACTTCTCTCTTTCCTGTGACATGGTCCACACCCCATTCATGGGCACATGCCTGAGTGAGTCCCTCCTGGCTCCTCGGCGCTCCTTGCTGCAGGGGCAGAGACGTCCTCCACACCCAGGGGTCTTGCCTGTAAGCTGTAGGGAACAATACTTGGGTGAGTGCTCTGATATGAGAGACAAAGCTGATTCTCATGTCATTACTACTCCAGTGTCCACTGCCCAGGTGACCGTGAGCACAGTGACCTGGTCTGTAGCCTGCTGTCCTGACTCTACTCCTCAGAGTAATTGTGGGGTCAGTGGGATCTATATAGTGGATGGGATGAATCATGTTAGATTCCTGACCTGATTAAGAGGGGTGTGGTTAAGACAGAAGAGGTCCATGTGTCAGACCCCACAGTCAGGTTAGATCAGTGATCATCGTGAGAAGTCCCAGGGAAGACCGAGAGAGAACAGTGGGGAGTTCAGAAAAACAAGAGACAGAAAGCTAGAATCAGGAGATCTCCATGGGCTGATGACCCAGTGGAGCCCCAACATGCCCAAGAGACTTTAGAGTTCAATAACCAGAATTTATCAGGGAGCTTGAGGTTGGAGGACCCCAAGTCCTAGGTGACCCCTGCTTCAAAGCAAACTTTTCTCAAGCATATTTACAGAGGATCTCAAGCACTGTGTCAGCATGACCCAGAGTGCTTATGTGAGCCCAATCAAGTAATGAGTGAACTGTAGGGATTGGGGGAGCTAGTCCTTGGCAAGACTCCCGAGACTACAAGGACCCTGTCAGCTTGCAGTTAGGTCTCCACATCCTTGAGAGACTCCATGTGTTCTTAACACTGAGAAATGCTATTTATAATGTTATGAAATTATTGGAAACAGCCATTTGCAGGAAATGAGAAACAAAAGTTTCTGAAATTGAAACGGACCACAATAGAAACAGAAGCGAAAGCTGAGTGACCGCCAGTGCTGGGGTCAAGCTGGGGGTCGTCAAATTCGATTTCTGCCTCTGTGTGACCAGAACAGGAGGCCACATTATCACAGCATGAAGGACATCCAGTTTCTGGCTGACTGTGGAAGCAGTGTGACCCTTCTACCATGTGTGGGGTGGGCCCTGGCATGTTTATGCCACTGACGCAGCCCAGACATCAGCACTGAGCCGTGTCCCCTCTACGTGTGTGTGTATGTGTGGAAGAGTTCCGTCCAGTGGAGTCCTGCCAGGCATCTGTCCCTGTGTGAGGGTGTGGTTCCCGTGGGAGTCATCCCTGCCAGACCCATCCCTGCTCAGATGCTAAGTTGGGACAGTGGATGCCAGAGGCCAGTGGGGCTGTAACCACCCAGCCCTTGCAGTCCTGAGCTTCAGGACAGCCCTGGAAGCAATTGTCTCTGGAACTCAGGGGTGTAGGAGGTGAGTGCCAAATAGGAATGGACATCAGAGAGGGACCCCAAGGTGATAAGGAGTGCTCAGGAAGACTGTGTGCAGACTTGTCAGTCATAGTCCAGGACATGAAACGGCAGGAATATAACATTTATATTTTATAATAATTTTAATTTTTTATAATAATTTATATTTTATAATAATTTTATATTTATATTTTATAACATAAAATTTAACATTTTATGTTAAAAATGTGAACTACTAAAAAATTGGAGCACATTGTTTGCAGCAATAATGAAGTTATATTATGAAAGAACATAGAAATCTGGAAATGAATTAATTAAATTCTTGGAGGTAAAAAAATAAAAGCAAAAACTTAACGTGAATAATCATTCCATCTGTGAGAAGATGCAGCTGAAAGGCAGAACACGAAATTGGAAGTCAACACTGAGGATGCTTTGTCCGATGCCAGACAGACAGGCTGAAATGAGAACATGCAGATACCCAGGGAACGGGGGGCCGGTGGATACTGTGAGTCTGGAAGGAGAGCAGCGAGGAAGGTGTGAGGCAACAGTCCCAGGGCCAGTGGTCAGGTGTTGTAAAGAGACACAGACAGAGCAGGAGGCTGCTGGTATGTATGGATGTGTCCCTCAGATCTGTGTCTCCGTGTCTCCCGATAAAGCAAAGGAAGTTGACAGGAGCTGAGTTTTTTTTTTAATCATTTTTTAAATTTATTTTCAGCATAACAGTATTCGTTGTTTTTGTACCACACCCAGTGCTCCATGCAATCCGTGCCCTCTCTAATACCCACCACCTGGTTCCCCCACCTCCCACCCCCCCACCTCTTCAAACCCTTCAGATTGTTTTTCAGAGTCCATAGTCTCTCATGGTTCACCTCCCCTTCCAATTTCCCCCAAATGCCTTCTCCTAACTCCCCATGTCCTCCATGCTATTTGTTATGCTCCACAAATAAGTGAAACCATATGATAATTGACTCTCTCTGCTTGACTTATTTCACTGAGCATCATCTCTTCCAGTCCCGTCCATGTTGCTACAAAAGTTGGGTATTCATCCTTTCTGATGGAGGCATAATACTCCATAGTGTATATGGACCACATCTTCCTTATCCATTCGTCCGTTGAAGGGCATCTTGGTTCTTTCCACAGTTTGGCGACAGTGGCCATTGCTGCTATAAACATTGGGGTACAGATGGCCCTTCTTTTCACTCCATCTGTATCTTTGGGGTAAATACCCAGTAGTGCAATTGCAGGGTCATAGGGAAGCTCTATTTTTAATTTCTTGAGGAATCTCCACACTTTTCTCCAAAGAGGCTGCACCAACTTGCATTCCTGCCAACAGTTTAAGAGGGTTCCCCTTTCTCCACATCCCCTCCAACACATGTTGTTTCCTGTCTTGCTAATTGTGGCCATTCTAACTGGTGTAAGGTGGTATCTCAATGTGGTTTTAATTTGAATCTCCCTGATGGCTAGTGATGATGAACATTTTTTCATGGGTCTGATAGCCATTTGTATGTCTTCATTGGAGAAGTGTCTGTTCATATCTTCTGCCCATTTTTTTGATATAATCATATATATATAATCATGTCAAAAAATGGGCAGAAGACAGGAGCTGAGTTTTAAGGAGAAGAAAAAAGCAGAGAGATCGGGATATGCACTTATACGGAATCATGAATGAGGGATGCTTTACTCACCCAAGGGAGCTTGAAAGGACAAAGGTAAAAGGGTTGGCAGGGCCCACATCCTCAAGCACAAGGAGAAAGGGATTTCATGAAGCCTTGGGCTTCATCTCTGTGAGGGAGGAGGAGAGCTCCCCAGCAGCTGTGTTCCCAGCTCCTCATCATTGGGGCCCTCCTGTACTTGGAATAAGGCAATGTTTTCTTTCTTTTTCTTTTTTATTTAATCTGGGAAATCAAAGAAATTTTTGTTTATTATTTTTTATTGTTTTTTAACATCTGAATTAAATTTTATTTTATTAGTGTTCCAAGATTCATTGTTTATGCACCACACCCATTTTTCCATGCAATACCTGCCTTCCTTAATACCCACCACCAGGTTTCCCCAATGCCCCCTTCGTTACAAAACCCTCAGCTTTGTACAGTCAAGAGTCTACAGTCTCTCATGGTTCGTCTTCCCCTCCGATTTCCCTCAATTCACTTTTCCTTCTCCTACTCCTAATGTCTTCCATGTTATTCCTTATGCTCCACAAGTAAGTGAAACTCTGCTGGTCTTTTCTAGAAAGCATGTGGATGGCTCTTACTTTTTTATTCAATCTGATACCCTGTGTCTTTTGATTGGAGCATTAAGCCCATTTATTTTCAGAGTCATTACTAAAAGAAAAGTCCATATATACAATGGAATATCAGTCAGCCATCAGAAAGGATGAATACCCAACTTTTGTATCAACATGGATAGGACTGAAGGAGATGGTGCTGAGTGAAATGAGTCAAACAGAAAAGGTCAATTATCATATGTTTCACTCTTATGTGGAACATAAGGGATAACATGGAGGACATCGAGAGAAGGAAGGGGAAAATGACGGGGGTAAATTGGAGGGGGAGATGAACCACGAGAGACTGCGGACCCTCAGAAACAAACTGAGGGTTTTGCGGGGGCAGATGGGCGAGCCCGTGTTGGGTATTCAGGAGGGCACGGGTTGGAGGGAGTACTGGGTGTTGCACACAAACAATGAATCATGGAACACTGCATCAGAAACTGTGTGTACTGTGATGACGTACTGTGGGGGTGACTAAATAACAAAAAAATCTGCATAAGGTTATCAGATTTAGGGGCGCCTGGGTGGCTCAGTGGTTTAAGCCTCTGCCTTCGGCTCAGGTCATGATCTCAGGGTCCTGGGATTGAGCCCCGCATCGCATCGGGCTCTCTGCTCAGCAGGGAGCCTGCTTCCCCCTCTCTGCCTACTGTGATCTCTCTGTCAAATTAAAAAAAAAGGTTATCAGATTTACAAGTCTATGCATAAGATGTGGTGAGTGCACAAAATAAACTTTTACGCTAAATGCTTGCTCAAAAGTATACAATTATGACGTATTTCATAACTTACCTTACATAAACATGCAAGGAAACAGGCAGAAGCCACAATCACAACTGC